TCGCCTCCGAGGGGAGTTCAGCTCTCACAGCATGGCAAGGCCGAGATGGGGACGTGCATCTCACTCACCAACCAGGGCCTTCCCTCTCAATTCGCTGCTGAATCCTTTCTTATGCTTCAAATGCACTGGAAGTGATGTGAAGATGCACTTCTCATCACCACGCAATCAACAGATTCAAAATATCTCTGGAGCCGGAGCCGCATCCTCTAAACTCTTTGGCTTTCTGAGATGGTTTGAGCTTTCATTAGAGAAAGAAACACAGTAAAATTCCACGCTCCATCCTCTAGCCTGTCCTCCAGTTCATAGCCTTGAAGGGTGTTCTGTGAGTCACAGAGAGCCCAAGTTAGTTCAGAGCTCCCACCTCTTGCCTTAGGCTCAGAGCCTTTTGATGGTCCTGAGAGAGACAGGGATGAATRCTGTCTGCTGTACAGTCATCTCAGCAATATCCAGAGCAGGAGAAAAACAACCTTCATCCTTAAACAAATGCATGGAGATTTTCACTTSTTCAGGTCAGTCTCTCAGCCACAACTCGGGTGTCTCCCTTCCCTGCAGGAGGGATATGGTAGTCAGAGCTCTTTAGGATGGCACCGTCATATCTATGCAACTAAATAAAAGGTCCACAAATGTTTCTCTGAGGTGTAAACTCACATGTTTCCACACTGSGTGGGGCTACGACAGAGTACCTGCTGTTGTACCTGGTGTACCAAGAGTCATGGTACTTGACTCTAGGCCCCTGGGGATATCCTGCAACCCAAGACAGAATTATATTTTTGTATGCTTTTCAGTCCAAATCACTGTAAGGGCCTTGCCACAGTCCACCAGAGTAGCTTTTAAATAAATGAAGTCAGTGAAATAGATGAGGGGGGATCCTGGAATGGTGCCACATCTGAAGGTGCAAAACCTGATGCATAGTGTTGGAGAGACGTTTGGGTAGGAGGAGCCACGCTGGTGTAGTCTCATCCCTATTGGGAATTGTTCCTGAAGTGACCTCTCCTTGGAGGTTTGCTCAGAGTTTGTCTTGGAGAAAGTCAATAGGAGCCRTCCAAAATAGAGCCTGGAAATGAGTTAATAGTTTAACAATGAGGACAGTAGGGTTCAAAATCTGAAGCTTGGTCGCGGACACTCTTTTATTTAGCAGTAGAAACATATTCCCAGGTGTTAAGCAGACTAGTAGCCCTTGGTTCTATCTTTTGTCCTGAAGCTCAGACTGAGGGTGTTCTGAGTTGTGAAACATCAAGTAATTCTGTCATCCCAAATGTAATACAACTAAGAGCAAAATAATAATACTTTCGATGTTGCTAGAGAGATTTTATTTCTATTACTTTAGACACTGGAGGATTTTAAGTGTGCAATAGCTTAAGAAATTTGAAACATAGCACAGATACAGTGAGYTCAGGCTACTGTTTTCCAGGGACTGGATCTCCATTCTCCCCATTCAAATGCCTTCAAAAGCACTTACTGCACTCCCTGAACTGTATGAAGAATCCAGGCTCTTTCTSTAGAGGACTAATCCAGGAAGCACTTAGATAGGTGGGAGTTCATGCAAGGATTGTCCCTCAAGACAAATWCCACTTTCCAACTGCCCTGCGCTAYGCAAGTGGTGCTACTGGATTATTCAGTCAAGGGCACCGTGCATCTAATCTCACTCAAAGCAAAATGCTTTGGTTTTCCTGCAGTGCACATAAAAGCTGTGCAGACTTAACTGCCATCATCCCAAACCACAGACACCGACAAGTTTCAGTTTTCATTGTGTTACTTTAATTAGCATTTGCCCTTAAATCAAGTCAACGCTCCCTAGAAACCTCTAACTGCAGGAGGGAACATAAATCTGAGGGCCTGAGGTGGTCTGCACCCAGCCCCTTTCTTTCCTTCCAGAAAATTTGTCCTCTTTGAAGAACCACAGTGCCAGGAACTCCAAGGAATCACCCTGGAGGAGAGCAGCCAACCTAGTCCATGTGGGAACAAGGGCTGCTCACCCCCAGCAGCAGCAGCACGAAGTGCTGGCTCCTCCTGACCAACAGGCTTGAACAGAGGAGCTTGTAGCAAGTACATCTAAATTTGCACTAAATTTCCAATAAATTTGTGCTAAATTGACACGTGCCAGTAGTAAACTTGGAGGTCTCCAAGGCTTGGAGGTCTCCGGACTTGTTTCAAAAGAACATCAGCTTATGTCACATGAAAGAAAAAGTCACTCTAATTCCTCTTTCTGTTTCCTGATTTTAAAAAATGTCTTAGCTCTTAAGATATCTGGGGTTTTTAAATTGGCCTTTTTTTTTTTCTGGTTAATTTCCAAAATGTCTATGAAAGCTGCTTGAATTATTCTGTGAAAAAGCTTATGGCTTTAAACTTTTGGAAAATTTCCATATCAAATTTACATCTCAGCTTAAAATTAAAATACATCTTGGCCAATTTCATGCTCTGTAGTTCCCTATTATTCTAACATGAGGTTAGAAAAATGAACATATTTTACTCATTAGTTTTCCCTAGAGTCAATATTTCTATGATTTTGATGGAAAATTAATGTTGTGCAACATTATAATAAACATACAGCTTTTAAAGGAAAGTAATATCAAGTGGAACTATGACTTTGTTGTTAATTTTCCAGTGTGTACGCTTATGTCACATTATTCAGTTATGGGATGTCAGGCTAGCTTTTCTGGATGCTCTGCTTTATTTGGTGCACAGGAGGGCAGTGTGCAATGAGCAGTTACCTGGTATTTTCTTTCTGTTCTCGGTGGATATGCACAATATTCAAAGCCTGCTCTGAATAGTGGGAGCTTTCCATGCTTGTGATTTTGAGGCCCAGATGCCAGATCTCCCTCTGGAAGCAAGGGAAGTGGGATTACAGCTCAACATTTCACCAAAGGCATTTCGGAACATTTCATAGCTCATCCCTCCATTCCAGGGCTGAACCTTGAGGATCATGGAGCTGGAGCTCAGGACAGGCTTGCGTGATAATGCAAGATCCCCTCCCCAACACTTATTTTTACATGATCTTTACCCTTTATTTTGATGCAGTTCTAGCAATGTGGTTAAAAGACAGACATTTATGTCAGAAAGTGGGAACAATGCCCTTCGATGGAGGAAGCTCAGTTTGGTGACACTTCACTACCTGGTTTAAGAAGAGGAAGAGCTGAGAGCTCTGCTTTTTGTGGACCCTTGGCAGCAGCTGTGATGTTGGAGTTCATCTGCCTTTGTGTGCAGTGACTGGTGAGAGAGGAGACCTGCTATAGGAGCAAGTGTGTTGCCTGAAGCTGGAAACCTGCTGCTGCTGTGCGAATATCACAACCCTATGGACTGGCACAGAGGGTGCCTGGCTTTCAACTCTCCATCCCTCCTGTGAGCCAGTGAGCCCAGTCGTAGCCTGGAGAATTCCTGCTGGGAATTCCTGCCAGAATGGTTTGGTGGTATGAAAGTGAGGAAATGTTTTCTCTCCTTTGGAGAAAGACTTTTTTTTTTTTTTCTCCAGAGGAAGGAAGGAAATCTCTCTGGGAAAAAGCAGCTTGTGCCTGGACGATGCTATGCATCATAAAGAGAGGGTCCTGGAGAGAGCCCTGGAGAGGGTCCAGAGAAGGGCAACCAGGATGATTAAGGGAATGGAACATCTCTCGTATGAAGAGAGGCTGAGCGAGCTGGGCCTGTTTTCTCTGGAGAAGAGACGGCTCAGAGGGGATATGATTAATATGTATAAGTTCAGGAAGGGAGAATGCAGGGAGGAAGGGGACAGGCTGTTCTCACTGGTGGCCAGCGATAGGACGAGGGGTAATGGCCACAAACTGAAGCATAAGAAGTTCCGTCTCCAGGTGAGGAGCAACTTCTTTACTGTTAGGGTRACAGAGCAGTGGAACAGGCTGCCCAGGGAGGTTGTGGAGTCTCCTACTCTGGGGGTCTTCAAAACCCGCCTGGATGCCACCCTGTGCCACATGCTCTAGGTGTGCCTGCTTGAGCAGGAAGGTTGGACTAGATGATCTGTAGAGGTCCCTTCCAACCTTAAATATTCTGAAATATTCTGAAATAAAGGCACTTTCAACTGAGCAAAAGGAATCCCTTTCTTCTCTGCAGCTCAAGGAGGCCTGTGTCAGATGGATAGATGTGATGGACCTCCTTCTTCACGAGGAGGATAAAGAGTCTGACCAGCTCTTCTGGTTCTTGCCTCAATATGAGGAGGTCCAAGCTTCTTCCCAAGTGATCAAGTTGAGGTGTTTCCCAGGACACTGTGTGGTTGCATGGGCCTCTCCAAGTGTCACCAGATACCAGGTGGCTGGGGAAGCTTTTGACATGAAGAAATCTAGATAACAATACATAGGAAGAGGGGAAGCTTAGGGCTTTATTTATTTATTTTCCAGGTAACAGAACAAAAAATCATGCTTTAGTGTTGTGCAGAGATCCAAACGAAGCCCGATTTCCTAAGGAAGGGAGACTCTCACCTCTGGTTTGGTGGGTGTAAGTGAATGCCCACCAGAAATGGGGTCCAGTTCTTGGCCCTTCTCAGAGGGGAGGGGAAGCCCAGAACCTATTCAGCTCATGGAGACAAAAGACCTAAACTGAAATTTAGCTTATCATTCTAAATGGGCAAAATAAAGCAGGAGCAATCCCATTAAAACAGATGTAGAACTGAGCTGGGCTGCTGCATCAACACGTTAAAACCAGCAAGATACAGTTGAAATGCTGAAGCAGGCTGAGACCAGGACCAGCTTTTAAATAGTAATTTGCACAATAGAGACACTGATGTTTTCTCAACAGTGACACTTTTCAAAGGAAAGCAAATTTTGAACTAAAATTGTCAGACTAATGAGAATATGTTGGAGTATGAGCATGAGAATAAAAATTAAATAAACACAGTTTTAACTAGTGTGTGACCAGTTTGCCTGGGTTAAGCAGACTGTATATTCTGTAATAAGGTTTTTGAGTTGGCAACATAGGATTGTCCTTGGAACCTTAAGTCACTCACACTGTTATAGTTTACAAAACTGAGTTTATTTAAATAACCAAGAAATAACCACATACTTTATTCAGCACTTTGGAAGACATCAAGACTTTCACTGCAGTAGTTCATATTTTCAAATACAAATGGGGAATTAGTAAAAGGTAATGTCACATCCAGCACGAACATGCCACTATCAGGAGTTTCAAGTTTCAAACACTAAGATCACTTATCTCCAACATCTCAAACACATCCACGTCACAAACCCGTAGCATCGCACTCCTGCTCCTTGCACACCACATGCAGTGCAAGATACCCGAGTACGATTCACTTCAGAACAACAACACGTGTGGCTGGACTGCAGTCACTAGTGGGTGGTAAACACTTGGTCATATATGATCATATATGATCATATAGTCCGGGGATGAGGGCTTGCCTAGTTCTTAGGGTGTTTGTATACTTCTCTTTCCAGAACAGAGATGGGGTTTAGGTTTCTGGGGAGAACACAGGAAAATGCAGCAGTTGAGTCCACCATTATCCGACATAAACCCTGTTTTTTTGCTGGTAACGCAGCAGACATTAGAATTGTAGCCRTGCTGCTGTCCTATGCAGAGAGGTAGCACAATATTATGGCTTTAAAGACTTTCTATTAAATAAGGCTTGTCTGAGCTGAAAGTCCTATAACAGCCAAAGGGATTTTATAATACTAACACAAGGTATATTATGGCAGCACCTATGGATCCACTTGTTTAAGAGCAGCTGCCAAATTCAAGTAGGTTCATGATCTCCTTGAAGTCTGTTGCAGCACATAAAGATCAGCAGTTCTGTGCAAGTCTTAACACTGGTTACTTCTGTCTTCCCTCATTCTCACTAATCTCAGCGAAGCCAATACGTGGGAACAGAAGAGTGGATGCCACAGATGGGCTGGAGAATGGAAGGCTTACTTAGCTATGAAAAAGGTACTACTTTATTTAGAAACAACCTGGGAGAGGTGAGAGCAAAGACATTTCAGTTACAAAATTCTGGACAATATGGCAAAAAACAGTCACCATATAACATTTGTGAAGGATACACATAACCACTGCGGTGCGAACCCTCCACCCTTCTGATCTTGCATCTAAAATTCATAGCAAGGACTTCAGTGTTAATTGAAGGGTCTTGAGAGACTGGCAGGGAAGGGAATACATGAACATTCAAATGCAGCTCTCCATAAGCAGCTAATTAGGACAGTTTTACAATTTACCTCTTCTTTTGTTTGTTCCATCTCACTTCAGCATCTTATTCTCGTAATTAAGTCACAGGGGATCTCAGAAGAACAACCCTTCATCACACTTACATTYACCTCATTGAGGCTACAGGGGGCTTGGCTCTGCTGAGGCACTCGGGTGCTACTGTAATACAAATAAATCTTCTCAAGTATGTTTTGGAAGACAGCACAATTAATATTGTGTTTGATACTACAAATGTATAAAAAGAAGTTCCACACACACAAAAGTTAAAAAGCAATTTCAACAAATTATTATAAAAATGGAACCGATCTTCCACCCAGTCTCTRAGAAGGACTTATTAAGACCAAAACAACTGAAAAATGGTAATTAACAGAGCATTTAGCTTATATGCCATTATATTTTRTCAAAAAAAAGTTTGTTAAGACATTATTTTTTTCTTTTATGAATACCTGAATTAGAAAATTCAGAATCCCTAGAATCTTCACCGTTCCTTTGTATTAAGTCTGTTTGGAGTTTATTCCATCAGTGCTAAAGAAAAAATTCAAAACCCTTCTCTGTTGAGATGACTAATCAAGACATCTGCAGTAACCCGGGTGATTCCGATGTCTCCCCTCCTGTGTTACAAAGAAAGCTGAACCCAGCAACATCCACCTTTCTTGTAAGACACAGCCAGTATTTCAGTGGCCAGCCAGCGACCCTCATACAGATGAACCAGACTAATATAAAAAAAAACACTGCATAGGGCAGAGAGCTCCCCAAATGCCACATTTAAACTCCAGAATTGATGGCTGTCTCTTGTAGTTCCCCCCTCACCCTAATGGGATATTTTGCCTTCCTGAATACTTTCAGCATGGAACTCCATATAACCAACAGACATTTCACAGAGCAATGTCACCATCTCTTTCTAGTATCTACTGTTATTTTCCCATCCCTCTGTTTTACAGTCCTACCTCCAACTGTTGCAGCTTTAATTGCATTCAGTGCAATTCACCYGTTTCTCAAATAYTTTTGTTGTTGTTTTGTTCTTGTTTCTTTTTTTTTTAATAAATAAAAGTCTCTAAAATGCCTTTTGCAATACGAGAATGATCATTGTTACACAGCAAGTAGTCTGCAGACCACTTTGGCCTCTGCAGAGCTGTCAGGGTRTGGAGACGGCTGCGTGCAGGGCCACATCTCGTGTCCAACGTGCGAAGGCGAAGCCCTCTCGTCATGCAGAGCTCCTGCCTGCTGCGTCTGGAAGGCATCAGCACGAAGCCTCTATCAGTCTCTGGCGAAGCACTTTGTCTTCCTTTGGACTCGCGTTGCTACTCGCTTCACGGTCTGGCAGAACTGAACAGAAAAACAAAGCCATTGAGCACATCCTCCTTTACAACTGCAGCAAAGACGGTGCCCCCACCAGCTCCCCGTGTGTCTCTCTGCAGCAGAGCAGCAAAGGGAGAGGCTGAGAAGTGACTTCATCCTCCTCCAGTGTGGCTGCATGTCACAGCAGCACAGGAAGGGCAGCAGCGCCCAGGGCTGCAGCGCTGCCCAGTYCTCCCAGCCAAGACCCTCAGCAGCATCTCCAGAACTCCAGCAGGTCTAGGCCTGCTCTCCCACTTGAACTGCATGGACCCAGCTGTCCCAGAGCGGTCAGGATGTGGCTCTCAGTGRCCAGGAACCCCTGCACCATCCACCACTCTGCTCTTTCCATGGTCACTTCTCAAAACATACRAATATCTCTTGCAACAGAGGAAAACACAGGCAATGGGAGACACTTTGCTGATATAAAGTCCACAACAGGAGCCAGTCAGAATGAGCAGTCTGTGCCAGCTGGCCAGGAGATGGTAGCTGCTTTCCCCAAATAATTTTAAGAGAGCTGAAGAACAAAATCAGGATTTTCTTTTGCTCTGAAGAAAAACGAACTAAAAACCTTTGAAGTGTTTCTGTGAAATGAAAGCAGTTTCAAAAGCTCTGCTTTCAATAAGAGATAAGTCAGATTTCCTATCAATCTCTTCAGCTCAGCAAGCAGAGATCTCCACCTTGGGCTCTTAAAGCTTCCTACTAAAATCCATCCATCTGTGTTTTGGAGAAGGGACACATGTAATAGGAGAACTATTTTCTGTCACAAGTACTCCAACTGCTGTACCAGAACTGCCTGCCAGAAGTGCTTTTTCTATATAGTTTAAAATAATTCAGAGTATCTGTTCCAAATTTCCTGCTGGTAAATTCCCTTCTCCCCCTCCAAGCCTCAGCCTAGGAGAATTGCTCCACCCTAGTGTAGAAGAACCATCACCCTTTGGAAGATGCTTCYTTGTAATTAGCACAGGGCAGTCAATGGCAGAGAAAGTGGATTCCAGTTTTTCCTGCCTTTCCTGCCTTTCACTTGCCCTCAGTGCTGACATTCGCCTACTCGGGTCAGCTGCTAAATATTTAGGAGCACTTTCATTGCTAGAAATAAAGGGGTTCCTGAGGGTGGCTGCAGCAGGGGCTGAGCTCCTCGCTCAGAGGACGTGGGCATCCCCATTGCAGGACAGCCCTGGCCCTGGCTGCCTTTGCATCACATGGCAGGACGAGTTCTCCATCTCAAGGTTTGTTTTCTYTTCCGTATCTGTCCTAGACCAGCAATGTGCCACATCTGAACTGATGGGAATGTTCCAAGAACTGGTGCACTAATCCAGACTCTGACTCAGAGGATTTTGTCAAAAATCACTTTACAGTCAGCTTTCCTATCTCTCTGCTTAAGGAGGAACAAGAGCATATTCGGAGACCCCAGTTCCGTTTCTCATCTGCTGTCCTCTTCTGACATTTCTGAATATCAAGAGTTCTTATTTCTATGTTAATCTCAGATTTATGCTGTTCCGCACTCACCACAGGGACCTTTTTGTGCAGGTTGGAGGAGGGAGCATCTGGATGAAGGGCAGAGGCAACCCTTTCTTTCTAATCTCTTAGTCTTTCAAACTCCTAATCTTTCAAACCAATCTCTTAAAAACTGATGTCCTGAAACTACTAATTTTATGACTTGCACTGATCTGCAAGTGCAAGCTGCTGTAGAAGAGTTTAGTGCTCTGCTGTGCAGGTGGCTGTAAGGACTGCAAGTTCAGAGCTCCAAACCCCCTTCCTCTTCGAGCAGAGATGTCAGCGAGGACACCATGAACCTGGCAGACACTTCAGCCTCCAGCCCGGGCCARGGACTTGCAAACCACAGGCCTCCTGTACATACAGGAATATAGAGCAGTTAGGTAACAAGGTCTAAACAGACCCATTTTCTTACAGAAGACATTAAAATACTTTTGGTATTTTAACCAAATACCAAAGATATTGGTAGGCTGAAGCTTGCTCTGTTTTATGTTAATGGATTTTGTATTAATGGATTCCTCCTATCTACATACTAGCAGGTCTGTATTTTTTTTTTTTTCATTTTTAAAGGTAGAAAGAGATCACCTTACCTTGTAGCTCGGTAGCATCTTTTTCTAGCTCTTCTACAGCAGTTTCTTCAGGCTGCTTTGGCAATGGCTTCCCATCTACAGTATCTGTCTTAATAGTACCAAGGTTTATCAACAGCTGCATGACATCAAACTTCTCGGAAGCTGCAATGTTCTCCAGCACTTTGAGGCATTTAAACGATTTAAGTTCACTTACATTTTCCTCAAGAAAGAGGACGTAAAGGCTTAAGTCATCAAAACATTTTGACTTCACTTTCAGAACATCAAAAGTTGGCAGGATTTCATACACTTTCAGAATCCCTGAATTCCAGCGGAAGGGAACAAACATGGCATACACAACCAGGGGCATCACTAGAAGATAGATTATCAGGTTAATGTAGCTGAGGACCTTGAAGACCCCAACGGCAATAAGTTTGCATTGAACCATTTCGGGAACGGTTGTGTCATTCTTCAAGATTCCTGTTTTGATGGTGCAGAGAAACTCGTCACTCAGAGAGGAGAGGCTAATGTAATAGCCCAGGTAGAGGCATGCAATGAAAATAATCACTAGGGTCAATAAACGGCAGATAATGTATTTGATTATTAAGCACTTGGAAAACTTCTTAGTCTTCAGGTATTGCTCCACAATTGGGTATTTGAAGTGGCTTTCTGGTATTTCCCATAAGCTAAGAAAGAGAAAACCAAACCACATAGATCAGATACTGCAGCATTCTCCCCCTCCAATTTCAAATAATGCAAATATTCTAGAACAGACACGAGCTTGGACTTTCTCATACTGTGACAAAATAAGGGTAGTTTAATTGAAGCCAAAGGAAAAAAATAAAACAGATACATGAAGAATACTGATAATTTAACACAGAAAGGCCACTTAGAAGCCAAATCAGAGCATCAAGAGATCAAGCACTTGAGGACAGGAACAAATCAAATATTTCCCCTCCATTAAGAAAATCTTTTTGTTCTTTTCAAATATARAATATGCAAACCAAAGAGAACAGGCAGCCTTCCCAAGCACTCAGTGGGTTAACAGTGCACTGAGAGGGTTCTTTTACCTGCAGGACCTGACTACATATATTAAAGAAYAGCTCTCAACTCCCTACTGTACTGCTCCTGTCCCCTCGCACAAAAAGACGTAGGGCCCTAGGATAAACCAGAAGCTGGATCTGTTTGGGGCAGTGACTCAATTTTACCAGGGAATAGGCCTTTTTTTTTTTTTTCTTTTTTACTTTTTGTTTTAAAAATAAGCTTTTCAGATCTGAGGAGGCAGGAGAAGACTAGTACTAAATTGTGCATCAGAGGATGTGAGAAACTGCCAAGAGCTCTGAGCAATACAGCCATCTGTTTCCTTACTCTGTGACAGGTAAAACTAATTAACACCTGCTACAACAAAAGCGATCGGGACAACGCAGGTAATTAGTTATCTGAAAAACAAATGTTTTCTTTTATCAAAGAAAGCTATGAGGTCCAACTCGACACGCACACTAATGATTTCAGATATATCTTTTAAAAGGTTTTCTTAAACGTACATTTAAACCTTTGCAATAAATTTCTAAGATAATTCAACCAGTGTATTTGTTAAGAGCCTGAGCAAAAGTGCAAAGAAACCCAGGCCTCAGTGTCTTACCTCTGGGTCRAGTTTTCATTAGCACTTGGCCCCCCATCAGCAGGGTCCTTGGGGTCTGCGCTGCAGATGCACTTGGCAGCCTTGATTGCCCTGTTGTAGGCTTTGTCCAGCTCTTCCATAATGAATTTCAGGTCTGAGGAAAGGTGTGGAGCTGCCGTGAAGCGCCAGAACAGGCATGGCAGGTACAGCAGGATGGCAACGAGCAGCAGGATGTATGGGAAAAACTAGAGGGGAGAAAAATGCAGGATTAGGTTCCACTGCTTATATAAAAGTCAGCCAGGTACCATCAGTCCCTGTAAGCCTATCCAATTGCTCATGATTTTWTTTAAATACTTCTATTAAAATACATCTTTGTGAAGGGAGGGAGAGATGCTCATTTGGCTAGCCTGTAAAATACACTTGTTCTATTCATTAACAGTAGYCTTAGAGGACTGAAGAATTGTTTTGAATCATCAAAATGTGAGGCCTTGAACTCACAGGCAGAAGTGAAAATGTGGTCATGGGACAAGAGTGAGGTTGCACAGCCAAAGACTTGGCTTATGGAGCCCATCTGACTAAGCTTCACAGTCATGCACAGAGACTTCTCATTTKAAGGAAGAGACCCTGTGGTGTTCATGCAAGGACCAGCACGCCAAATCTGCCTTTCTTCCATGCTTAMTATATTTACTCCTGAGGAACTGAACACACAAATGGGAAGAGCTGCTCCAGTTTGGGATAGTTTGTAGTGTTTGCAGCATTTAGATTAAACAGGAGTGCCACTGACCTCAAGAACTAAACAAAAGATATGGCAGAGCAAGCTCTGCCCAAAAGGTAAAACTCAGTTTTCCTTTTGCTGCCCAGTTATCAAATTCCTTCTCAACAGCAAGTTCCCAGTGCTGGATTTAGGGTGGCAAATGAAATAGAATTGCTGAAGAAAGATKGATTAAAATGGAATTGCTCACTGAATCACTGAACCTCCCTAAGAGAGATTAAAACAGATGCATCTGGTCCAAGATGAAAAGCTCCAAGCTTTTCATCTTCTCCCAAGACGAAACCTGGGAGCTGCAGGTTTCCAAATAGCTCCACCCAGCCCTGGAAGACAGAAACCATCATGCTCCTGCCCAGTAAGAGCTTTGGAGATGGGTGTATGAGGATGTGAAGATAAAGAGCCTTCATCCTCTCGGCACCTTCACCAATGCCTTGTCTAAAAGCCTCCTGCTCTAGTGCTCACCCAGGCAGCTAGAAAGGTTATCATTAAATCAAAGCCATACATCAAAACACAAACACTTCCCAGATATGAACATGTTTTCTTACATCAGTGACCATAACTCTGTCAAGCAGTTTTAAATCAACATGGGCTACTATGAACTAAGATGAAAAATAATAATTAAGGATGGAGTCTGTGCTCTGGAAATCTCCTGTCTGTTTAATGTACTGCACTGTTTTTGAGCATTTATTCAATTGCCTGCTTTTGCTCCTCTCCTGGAAATTACTTGCACAAACTGGACACATATTTTCCAAAACAACTCCACCTTGCTAGAGCTTGTGGCCGTCTATATTCAGATAAACATTCAGAATGACATGAGCTGCATTCACTCCATTTCCCAAGGAAATGGGCAAAGTCTTTCACACACTGCAAATACCTAAATGAATTCCTAATATTCTCATGGCATGATTTTTGCCCTCTTTTATTTGGAGCTTAGAAATGCATGYGAACAACTGCAATCAATACGCAGCAACACTCCACAGGTTACAGACAGGGGTGTAGGAAGAGCCCGACACACACAACATGTTTCTAACACCCACAGTGTTTACAGGTATTTACAGAGAAAAGAGAATCATCCCCAGGCTGTGAAGAAGCTGGAAGTTATCAAGCTATCCCTTAGTTCTAAGGCCTCCTTTCTCTTGCCCTAAAAACACCCCTCACAGAGGGTGACCTGGCCTTCTTGAAAACCTCTCTTTCACAGAATCACAGGATGGTTGAGGTGGGAAGGGACCTCTAGAGATCACCTAGTCCAACCTTCCTGCTCCASCAGGGACACCCAGAGCACGGGGCACAGGGTGGCAGCCAGRCGGCTTTGGAAGATCTCCAGAGAAGGAGACTCCACAGCCTCCCTAGGCAGCCTGTTCCAGGGCTCTGTCACCCTCACAGGAAAGAAGTTCCTCCTCACCTGGAGACAGAACTTCCTGTGCTTCAACTTATACCTATTGCCCCTTGTCCTGCACTGAGAAGAGCTTGGCCCCTTCCTCCCTACATTMTCCCTTSMTGAACTTATACATATTGATCAGATTCCCTCTCAGGCTTCTCTTCTCCAAGCTGAACAGGCCCAACTCACTCAGTCTCTCCTCATATGAGAGATGTTCCAKTCCCTTAATCATCTTGGTTGCYCTTCTCTGGACCCTCTCTAGGAGCTCCACGTCCCTCTTATMCTGGGGTGCCCAGAACTGCACACARTACTCCAGGTGYGGCCTCACCAGAGCTGAGGAGAGGGGCAGAATCACCTCCCTTGACCTGCTGGCAACACTCCTCCTSATGCAGCCAGGATCCCATTGGCCTTCTTGGCCACAAGGGCACACTGCTGACTCATGGTTAACTTGGTGTCAACCAAGTTTCAGTCTTCTTGAATTAAATTTCATAAACTAGCTAACTGTGTAACCTAATTGAATGCCCATATATAAACAAAAATCACAGAAGAAAATATATAGAAAAAAATGCTTGAGTAATATACTGGTACAAGCAGACGAGACATTGGAATCACCCAGCTGTCCTTTAGAGATGTGTTGGCACCACACTCTATTAAAGGAAAGAAAAATCAGATTAATTCTCTAAACAGTAACTGGACCTTCCCAGTTCAACTGCATTAAGATCCAGTAAAAACACAGCATCTAAATTAAAAGGGTATTTCTTAAACTTCTTTATAAACTGAAATATGTGTGTCATTCAAAGAAAACACAGCTAAAACAAAAATAAGATCTCTGCCAGACACCTAGCAAGACACCAGACACCTTTCTGTAAAAAGGGCAGTGTGATCCAAAAGGCATTTTCAAGGAAATCTACACAGAACTTGCTGAAACCTGGAGACAGCCTGTAGAAGATGAGAACAACTCCAGTGACACTCACAAAAGAGCTCCTACTACATCTTCGTTTCTATTTACTCTGAGCCAACACTACTGCAGTGACTGCAGACATTCAGACTCTCACCCTACTTGGGAGAGGCAAAAYACAGTGCAATAACATAGCGTTGTTAAACTGCACCCACGGGCCTGAACTGGAGTCTTGAGAAAATTCATTGCTGTTGAATACTAAACAAAGAAACACTGGAAGTTTTTTACTCGGCATCAAAATAACATTATGATGAAACAAATCTCAGCTTTATTAAATCCATTTTTTTATACTCCATTGAGAAAAGCCTAAGCATGGGAATTCCCTTCCCTCCTTCCCATCGTCACCACCAAAACAGGCTAACAACACAACATACTTCCTCATGCAAAGTTTAGTTCCCTCCTGACATAATCATGTCCTTGGGAGACTCTTCGTGGGTTTCCAGGGCAAGAAATGTGAGCTATAAGTGACTCACAGTTCTAAAGGTTGACATTTGGCTGAGATATTACCCTGGCTCCAGATCTGAGACTGCATCCGAAGCAATGCTTTTCCATATCCCATCTGCTCCTTATTTATTTTCTGTTTTGATACACCTTGAAACATCAAATTTCTCCAGCCTCAGTTAATGATGTTAATGATGTGACTAAACATGCAGCAACTTTTTTTTTTTTTTTTTTTTTTTTCACTGACAGCCCTTAATCCTCCCGGGTGGGGCTTTACAGCTGAAAGATGAAGAATCCTCAGACAGCTGTAATGTTGGCTGAACAGTGAGTAACAAGAACCAGGTAACAGCTGTGACTACGATGACACCAACAACATAATGAAGAATCTAATTTTTTATCTGTAATTACAGCTATGCAAGTCAGGGAACAACCCACAGATTCACAGGAAACCTGTTTTAAAGCAAAATCATGAAGATTTTGAGCAAGGTAAGTGCTACTTCACAGAGACTCAGAATGATTCTTCGTATTGCAGTGCTCTGAGCAGGTCCCACCACATTTGCCCTTCACTTCTAGAGATCTAAGTTGAGGGGACTGTTTTTGCCTTGCTGTGTTGTTCTGTGACAAGAGAAATGCTTCTCCTGTCTGTCAGGCACACAGAAGTGTGCAAACGAACCRTTTCCCTTCATTGCACACTGGTACTACTGCCCTCCCTCAGAAGAACTGTTCCCTCTCCTTGCCCCAGTTTTGCTTCTTCCTCCTTGATTCTCTTAAATTATTAGCAGACTAGAAAACAGAGTAATTAAACAGAGTAATTAAAAAGCCCTTAAGGTCTTGTGATGAGAGGTACCCCCATTCCAGCAATCCAGGTTGGAGGGCTAGGGAGAGGTCCTAACTGAGTATCCTATCCCCTCTCCTTCCCACCAGCCTGCTCGTGCCATCATGCCTAGAGGAGACACGATAATGCCGTGTCCTCCTTTGTACATTTCCTTCATCTTCTCTGGACTGCAAGGACCAGCAGCAGGCAAATAACCTGTTTCTTTTAAGTGAAGAATCAAGGCAAGTTTTGTGATAAATTGTCAGGCGGAGCACTCATCCCTAGGGACAAGAAGCAAACAATGAGAAAAGAGGAAACAAATACACAACTCTCGTATCTACAAATCCACAATCTCGTATCTACATTGCCTGCCTTTCCTTACAACGTATCTTTAGAAGTTAATATCTCAGTTCTGGTTCTTCAGACAGGTACAAGTAACATCTTGAAGGAGTTCAAGCCTCCCAGAAGAAAATAGAGACGTCAGAGAAAACATGACTCCTGGCCAGGCTCTGTCTCCTCAGTGACAGGCCTGAAGATGAGTCAGGTGAACATCTCGATACCTTTATAGCTAACAAGGAGGAGGAAGTCTTAGACTAAGATTACAGGCAGAACATACCATACTCCCTTATTATCCACCTGTAAATGAAGTTTATTTCTTGAGTCATGTGTTTGAGTGCACAGCTCATTTTGCTTTGTGTTAAGGCTCACTGTTAAGGCTCACTTAATATTAAGAGTTATTTCAGGATCACTGCAATTTTTCAAACATYCTGTTTTCCAAGGAGCAACAGCGCTCAAAGGGCATGTAGCCCACTCAGTCAGGCTCCTCGAGACCTGCAGCACGCTCCTCTTCTCCACTCCAAAACAAGTTTTCAAGCTGATAAATTGTTTTGGGAGACATCCCTAGGCAGGACTAACCTAAACAAAAAGCTGCACAGCTGCCCAGGACACAGAGAGAAAAACTCAAAGTGTTTTCTTTACAAGAAAAGCTGGATTTAACCATCCCTGCGCTCCCTTTACTGCATCCCTGTCCCTGCACTCCAGGGAAAAGCCGCCTCTCATCTGAGCGTCTCTCATCTCACTAACATCATGTGCTCCCACAAAGGCTCTGCACATTCGAAACCCCCTTGTCCAGCCAGGGCCTGTGGAGCAGGGAGCTCTGACGTGCCCTGCACTTCACAGCAGACAAGCACAGCCGTGTTGCCCTGCAAAAACAAGCAGCCTGTGTCACTGTCAGCTGCACGTGCAGGCAGCAGCTGCGGGCCCCACATGTGAAGAGCAGCCAAGTATCTCAAGACAGGGCAGCAGGCACCAAAGGCTGGCGTTGGGAGCTGCAGCACTGCTCAGCCCCTGCAAACTTGCTAAGCGTGAGAGCTGATGAACAACTAGCAGGTTATTTATTAGCACTGGCCTCCAAACAGCAYGTGTGGCTTCTACCAAGTAGATTAGGGGAAGGATGGGTGGCTAAGCGTGGATTTAGGAAGTCAACATTGGCACCCAGGCTCAGTCCCAGGTTCTGACTCAGCTGTTCAGATATATTTCAGTCTGCAGAGTATCCAAAAGGAAACATCACATGGCACCAAGCTACCGCATAGGAACTGTGGAAATAGGGGCCCTGCATCAGCTCCTGAGACAGCAAATTCATGTGGTTGTGTCATAAAAATATGATTAAGCTATTTGTCATCGCTAGGAAATGAAGGGACTTATAGTCAGCTATCAACAATGACTATAGAATAACACTTATCAAAAAAAAAGGCTAGGTAACAGTAGCTCAGTGCTCATCCACCTCTGCAGAAGGAGTTTCCTGCCATGCAAGCCCTTGTGAGACGTCCCACCAGCCTCGAGTGGCCTCTATAGATGGTCTGRCTGGGAAGAATTGGAGCAGTAATGGAGCAAAACAGAGCTTAGCCTAGAAAATAAGCCTGGCTTYAATATTCATGCGGCTTCTGTCTTATTTCATGATTTTAAAATAGCTCCTGACTGAAGTCAGGTCAGGCACCCAGCTCCAGGGCAACCCATCAACACTAACATAACTCTCGYGTCAGATAACTAGTGATATTTGTTATTGTACCATGTCAGATCCTTTATTTAAAAGCAGAAAAAGTTGATGCTTTTGTTGATGCTGTTCTGCTCAGACGAAATGTTGATGCTCTTCCCATCCCACTCTGCTTGGAAGCAGGGGAAAGAAAACTTCTTCTCTAAGAATAAAGTGAATTCACAGCCAAGCACCACAGCAGAGGAGGAAGGAGAAAGGCAGAGCAAAGGCAGGTTTTATACTTCAGTTTTTCCCAGAGAAGGAGATTTGGACATACCTTGTGGAGCCACAGGGGAATGTTTTCCACGTTGTTCTGGGACGTCTGCTTTTGCTGCACTGCTGCCCAGCAATAGGAGTCCACATAAGCAGCCTGTCGCCAGGAGAAGGAGCTGGGGGCAAAACAGCTTATCTGAGCACCTGGAAAACACAGCAAAACACGGCAGATATTGGGAAGATTTGCAACGGAGAAATCCAGTTAAGAAAGAAAAGCTCACGCTCGGGGTGCAGTGCTACCCCAAGCTACTACATGAGGCAATAGAGGAGAGCACAGGAGTTCTGCAAAGTCTGCAGAGCAGCTCCATTCCCCAGAACAGCATCCAAAGGGTTACAGTCCCGCAGGGATTCTCCGAGGTCTGCTGAGGGTTGAGTCAGTAAAGAAGAGATAGTGGAAACGCTTGTCTGTTATGCCTTTTCTTGATACATATTTTGGGAATGTAACCTCCATGTGGCGACTTTCTCCTTGCATTTAACTCAGGTTGGCCAAAGGGGAACTGAGGGGTATGAAGTGTCACCAGGAAATGATTTCCAGGATGCTGTGCACAAGTTACAGCTGAAAACAGGGGTTTCCTTTTGGCAGAGCAATCCTGGTGTCCAGGMTCTCCCAAAGGACCCTGCACCTCTCCTCCCCACACCCTATCTCAGTGTGGAAGAGTGGTAATATTTGGCCATGAATGGGTATCAGTGGCTCCTTATAGGAGAGCTAATAAAACAGTTTTTGTTGTTGCTTTTCCTTTTTGAAACTCTGCTATTGAAGAGAAACTGTTTCCAACAGGCTTCCCTCAGTCCTGATTGCTCTGGGGGGTTTCGTGCCTACGTTCTGGTCTGTCCCAGAGAACAAGAACTTGCTTTATAAGAGGGACTTAACACTGTAACTTCTGTCACAGCGCGGCAGAGCGCRGAGCTGGAGAATCAAAGCCTCCCCTTCTGAGTCACTCGCAATTATTCCAAGGCTGCAGTGTCTTAATGACAAGGTTGGAATGGTCACAAGCCTCCCTCATGGCAAACAAATTGTTATTTATGAGCAGGGAGCTCACGGGATTTAGCAGAGCTCGCACAACGCCAGCAGTTTCACCGTGTCCAACGGAGAAGCTCCAAGGGTTTCTCCTTCCCAGACACTTGCCATCTGTGGAGGAAACCTGTGGGAGCTCAAGGAAGACACTGAAGGGCCTGTGTAGGCTCTGCTCACCCTGTTAACCAAACTCCTGCTCCCGGCACGTGTRGGAAGCTGTAAATAAGGGGCCCTTTCAGAGGGTGGGCAAGGGGAGCACCCAGCACCATCTGCACGGGAAGGGCTTCCAGCTGCCCACCCCACACTGGGAAACCACCGGGTAAGTGTCAAAGTTAATGCTGAAAACACCAAATTTCCACCCATTTTCCACCAATTTTCCATTTTCCGCCCCCCCCTACCTTCTGAGGGAATAATATCATAATACACAGACAATTATTCTGGGCTTGGATRTTCTGGAGGAAGTGGGGGGAAAAAGAAGAAAAGTTGTAATTTTTACTGAAGTATAACATAGGCAAATGGCCAAAGTGTTGTCACAGAACCACTATGAACATAAATATATATGTAAATATATACGAACACCCTGTAGCTAGTTTATGCAAGGCTGAAAGTCCTCTGCTATGAAAGAAAGGGCCTTCCCGAGCTGGTGACAGGATGCCAATCCCAGCCCTTCGCTCCCACAAGTAACAGAAAGGCAAAAAAGTCCCAGCGATTCCTTATGRAAGTCCCTGATGATGACATGGAGATACAACACCCAGCGGGAAGGACGAGGTCTGAGAAGCGACCGCCTTCATCGAGAGGCTGCTTTGGCYGGTTTTGTGGTCGCCTTGGACAGCGCCTCTTCCTTTACACCAGCAGGAGCCTCTCCAGTGGGGGTCTCCTCCATGCTCAGGTGACACCTTTTCACCTTTTTTAAYACCTTTTTGCCCAAGTCCTTGGCCTGGTTCGGTCACTAAAGGCCTGAGAGAAGCAGTCCCTGTCGCCAATGAGATCTCTTCGGAGCTGGAAGTACAAGCAACAAGTCTGCCCTGGCTTCTCTGTCACAAACAAGACATGGAAAAGCTGCTGTAAATGCTCCAAGAGCAGGATCCGAGCCACTCTCCACCCTACTGCCCCTGCTGATGCTTCCCGAAAATAAGAAGCTTTCTTCCATCCTAGAATCCCAAGAGGAAGCTCAGGAGCAAAGGAGCTGGTCCCAGCCTGCTCTGCTGGTGTGGACGGGGTGACTGGGAGCAGGACTGGGCTCCTCCGGAGGGCTCAGCCCCTCTCTCCTGCTTGGGCATCTCCTTAAAGCATCACCCAGTATTCCAAGAACTGAAGTTCATGGGAATCTCACTTCTGAGCCAGGATCTGCAGCCTTGCATTTCACAAGGTGAAACCTTGAGTAAATAATTTTTTGCTTCCTGGTGCCCTGCAATTACTAAGAAGAAAAAAAAAACAGATTTGCATAGGTTTGATGAGGAAAATATAGCCATTAATTACCTCCCTAATGCTACACTAGACAAAATGAACTAGCCACAATACCCCKATACTTGATTTTATCTAGCAAGAATTATCCACCTTATCAGGCACTGAAGAAAACCCACAAACAAGAAAGTCAAGCCACACACAACAGTGCACAGCTTGCTTCAAGGCACCACACAAAGTACATGCCCCACACCAGCATTAAAAACTGTGAAAAAACATGAAAAAGCATAAGTAAGAAACATAAGTATGGAGAAAAACAAATGAGCCCACAAGCTGAAATAACCTGTTCACTGCGGTTTACTTTGGCCATGTGGTAGTGCAGAAGATAAAGCTAATGCAATATTTAAGAAAAGTGGGCGAGCTATCAAATATTTCCCACTTTCCATAGCCATGTACGTTATTGCTTTGTGAGGTCTCAAAATCATGTAATGGGAAAACAGGTAGGGATTCATCAAGCAYGCACACAAAATAGTGTTTGAATCATGGGCAAAATTCAAGTTCAAGTTTGAATCATTGGCAAAACCAAGCAAATAAAACCCACATTTCACTGTGACTTGAATTCCAAGCAAACGGATTAAAACAACGAAGTCTCCTCACCAACAGCTGAGAATGTTCCCCCAAAGCCAATTTATCCTTTGACATTTAAATTAATGTTTCTAAAATCTTGTCCCAGCTGCCTGGATGGGCCTGTCCTGGTGCCTGTTGCTGCTCCCTGGACACGTTTCAGCAGCCAGGGAGCAGCTCCCACCCCTGCCCTTGAAGGGCAGCCTCCCCCTGCAACCCACACCCCAGCCCACACTTCCCTGCTCTCCTGCCAGCTGTAACGGGGAAATCTAGAGATCCTCCTCCTGCTGGCCCATGGTAAACCATGTAACTGGCCAGTTTTCCAGTAGATATCAGTGCATTTCACTCCCAAACTTTGGTTTTGCAGCTTAGAAAGGAGGAAAAATTAAAAGGAAGAAGAAAATAAAGATATCTGTAAATAGTCAGAGCATCCTTGGTGACACTAGTTTGCTCTGAAGCACTTCTCTGGGCTCCTGGTTTTGAACCCCGGCCCAGAGGCTGCAGGGGGGAGCAGGGAGCAAAGCATAGTTGTAATTCCCTTCCTCTGGAAGGCTGCAGGCACCCGATGCTGCCCTTGATGCTCCTGCTTGCTCTTCTGCTGCAACCAAGCTGGCCAGGGATATTCTGCCCAGGACTAACATGAAAATAAGCCTCTGCCCAAATTAATCAGCTTGTTTCCATTTCTCTCTGCCCACACTCCTGTATCAGCTGGTTTCCTGGAAGCTGCTCAGAAGCATCTGCTTTCACCTCTCCAGTGGTGCTTTCAGATGACTTATTTACACTAAGGAAGCATGCGAGAAAATACACACATACTGATTACAAACTGGAATGCCAGCCATGTCTCAGAGCAATTCCTATTAAAAACATAATAATTCAACAGTGACTCAGATAAACTACAGGTTTAACAAGGCTGAGTGTGCCCACATCTTTTAATTACTTTTTTCCCTTCTATAAGAGGGGTGGGTGATTTAGCCATATTTATGTCACTGGTGCTTTATATTACTGTAGTACTTGACCACCCAAACTACATTTACCCAAAAAACTCCCACACAATATAAGAAAATAATATATGGAATTTGAGGAAATGCATTATTCAAACTCTCACATTCCAAATTTTATTTCCGTTTTCAAGTTCCCTGTGTAAAACTGGATCAGACAAGGACTAGAAGCAGAGGTGTCAGGTGCAGCATTTCAAGCCTTCTCTTTCCCAGTGCCTGGGGCAGCAGAGCTTCCCAGAAGAGGTCCAAAACATCGATGGCTAAATAATACCAGAAGAAATAATCCTTAAAATCCTGGCAGACCTGCAGCTGGGGACGGTTTTATAAAATATAACAAGGAATAAGTTTATATTGCACCTCCTGCTGCTGTCCCTGCAGGGCTGCCCACTCAGGCACTCACTGCAGCTGGCCTCTAATGACAGTTTTGCCCAGTTAACAACCACCTGTAGAATGAAAATTGCTGCTATCTAACCCTGTGCTGTGACAAAATATGGAAAAAGRGAGCAGAGAGTGAAGCCAACAGCAGCATCCAGGCACAGCTGCCAGGATAACGYAGGTGGGGAGGTGCAATTATCCCAACAGAAACAGGATCCGGGCGCTCCTTCTGGAAAGCGTGTGCGATTCCCGCACCTGGAGGCAGGGATATTTTCACGCTGTGACTCACATATTGCTCCCACAACCCCCGCTGATCTGGAGCTGCCCTTCTTCAGACCCAAAATAGACCCAAAATGAACCACCTTCTCTCAGCTTGGCACTCCTGAAGCGTTTCAAGGCACAAGTGCACAAGGAAGTGCCTGAAAACATCCCAGCACCGCTCCCGGACTTAGCGCATCCAGCCGCCAAACCCTCCAACCTTCCCTCCTCCAGCAAAAATGCATCCTARTGGGAACAGCTTCGGTAACTCACTCGAGCAGCCTGCCAAGCAGCAAGCACCCTGCGAGCAAAGGGAGAGAGCAACAAAACGGGATAGGGCCGCTGGAAGAGGCAAAGGGCAGCCCGGCTGGCACGGTCTCACTTTCTGTATGGAAACCACGTGGTGCAGCTTCACCTCACGCCGGGGCCCTGCATGTCACAGGCTGCTTCCGTTTGGCAAATAGTGTTTTGAAAACAGCCCTGTTTTAAACATCATTTCTTTCTTCTTACAGCCTCCCAGAATTAAAAGCAAAAAGTAACACACAGCATATTCCTGGCATGCAAGGTTTAGTGCCTGCTTTAGTTGTTGCTCTAAGCGTGCGCTGTAGTCTCAGATACAATTTGACTTATTTTAACACTGAAGGATATAACATGTATCGTACACCGAGGACTAAGCACTTGATTGGTGAAGACGAGAACTTGGTAACTGATTCAAATGAAAGAAGCATGAAAATCCCCTTTATCAAATCTACAAGGTAACTGTAAATTGGAGCTTTAAGTGAAGCAGGAAAATGAGAAAAAGTCTGCAGAGCTGCACAAGGTAAGAGGGCTCATACAGAGCCGCTCTTGCAGGCTGAGGAGGATCCTGAGAGCGATTTTGGAGGGGAAGCAGAGGAAGAAGAACTGAGAGGTCCCATCCCCAGCTAGCAAAACTGCTGTGTTTGTCTGTGCTGTCCCATAAAATGGGACTCTTTTGCACTGCTCCGTGAGGAAGCAACAAGAACACACCAATAGTGGATTCAAGACTAGAAGCAGCAAGCTGTTCTGCAGAAAYACTTCTGCAAATCTCTGCTTGAAGAGAGCTTCCACAGGACACAGATCTGGTCTTGACATCCTGGTTGTCTGGGATTACTGCGGGCGACAAAACTCTGCCTACGTCTCCTGCACTCGGTGGGTGCCTGTTCCCTGGTCTGCTGCCTCGTTAATGCTATCGTGATGCTTTGGCAGATCCACCACCAATTCACAGTCCAATGCGTTACTACACCCTGACAGCAGCTTTGCTCAGGACTACAAAACACACAGCTCGGGTGTAAAACAGGTGTCTTGGGTACGGGACACTGAACACCAATGAGCGGGCACCTGCAGCAAAACAGCTATTTCTGCAAGTRCAGAAGTCCTGTCACTCACTTCTGCCTCAAAAGTGGCAGCTGTGCCTACCCTGGGAACCAGAGCCCAGCAGCTCAAATCTGGGCAGCAGGTGACCAACCTCAAAACACAGTTGAGATATCCTCCATCCGAGCCCAGAAGTCTGGGAATCCCTCCAAGCACCTATTCCTGACAGCTCATAAACAACAAGAAAGCTTCTCGGAAAGTCCTCCAAGCACTGGGAACTGCAGCACTGCGCACRGGTGGACCTCAAGGCACAGCCCACGCTGCTGCTTATGCTTAAGGCTGATCAGCATTGAGATAAAAGCAGAYCTGGGTAGCTGTCACCTTCTCCAGGCCACACTGGAGGAAAAGGTGGGCAACGCTGCCTACACATGCAGTGGCTGAGCTGCTGGTGGCCTCTAGAGAGAGCTGCCAACTGTTAGAGAATGACACCTAAGACATCAAATCACTGCAGCAATTTGGATATTCATCAAGAAAGATGAGGAAAGAGAGGGAAGGGCCAACCCTGATGCCTGACACCTGGATAAGGCCTGCTGTGAGAAGGCAGCTGTCTCCAGGAGATCTGTGCTCCCTCCCATGCCCTGCCCATAGCCCAAGTGAACCTGTTGCTCTGGTCCCACCACCACAGGGTCATGGGTGCTCCGGAGAGGGCAGTGGGAACTGCTYCTTATCCGTGCACACTGCAGCCTCCACCCGGGACATCCTGCAGGTGGGCTGGTGCTGAGCCCTGACCCTGCGAGGGCTTCGCTACCGAGGGCAGCCCTTGGGAGGGCTGAGACCCACGAGAGCTAATGGTGCCCCAAGCCAGGAGAGGCAGCAGGTGAGCATCCAAAGCCACCTTCAAATGTCCCCTGCACAGGTTACCTCGACACATGTGGTGTGGGGATGCCCACGTCGGTGTGGGGATGCCCACCTCTGGTGTGAGGATGCCCACCTGCAGGACGTGGGACTTGCTGCCCGGAGAGGTTGGCATCCCATGTCCACCATAAAAACACCCCATGGAGGCGATGGAGCCGCCCCTGCAGCACCACCACGGCCCCGCTCCCACGGTGCCACACACACAACCTGCAGGAACCTCCATGTCCCCAGGGCGCCCACGGGGACACCCGGCTCCGCCAGCCCGCCCTCCTCCTCCTCCTCGGGTTACCGATGGAGATCTCCTGCGCGAAGGCGAGCGAGATGAGCAGCAGCGGCAGCCCCACGGCCACGCAGGTGACCATCTTGTCGAGCGCCAGCTCGAGCCGCAGCCCCTTGAAGCGCGTCTCGGGCGGCTCCTTCAGCAGGAAGTCGGAGAACACGTACTCGGTGGCGATGTGCGCGATGGCCATGGCGGGACGGGACGGGACGGGCCCGCTTCGGCGCGGCGCGGTTCGGCGCGGCCCGGCCCGGCGCCGCCTCCCGGCCCGGCTCCGCCCGGCGCGGGGCGGGATCCGCGCGGCGCTTCCCTCCCCGCCTGCGGGAAAAGCCTTTGTCTTCGCTCCCGTGCAGGGGGATTTTCCTGCCCGTCCCTTGCCCGCCCACTGGGCGCCCCCGAGAAGAGCCCGGGTCCCGCCGAGAAGAGCCGGGTCCCCCTTTCTGCCGCCCCCCGGCTTTGTGTGCGGGGCGAGATCCTCCTCGGCAGCCCCGGCCTCCCCTTGCAGGCAGCAGAGCCCCCTTCTCCACCGGCTTTGGTGTCCACACCTGGGGCTGCTTCTCGTGGGAGCCACCGAGGGGACGCAATGTTTGATAACCTGCCTGGCTCCTGGACCGTAACGCTGCCGTGAGGGGGGACAAACTGTTCCTWGCTCAGCACAGCTCTCATTTTATACAACTGCTGTCCCTGGCACTTTCAGTTTTCCTTCCTGTACTGGCAAGTACAGATCCCAGTCCCTCATAGGGAAGACACTCTCCAATCCTGCCTCACTTTCATGCTCGTTTCTGTGCCCTTCTAGGTCCTTTTCTGGATGGGGTCAAGGAATACGACTCAGCCCTATTCAAATTCCAGGTGCACCATACATTTATTTAACAGCTTTTGCATATTTAACAACTATCGGTGATGATTCCTGGGCTGCTCTGTTCTTAATTTCCAGTGATTCCCAATATTCAGTTGGGAATATTGAGCACTGAGCTAACATTGAGCTACACACCAGTCTCTTAAAAACATATTGAGGTACCATTTCCTTTAACCAAAAAAAAAAAAAAAAAAGATATTGATTTTCCATGAGATGTTTTGTTCCTTTGACCAGTTCTGTGTTTTTTAGAATAGTTTCTACCACCTTGCACTGTGTGGGTGTCAGGGCTATTACTTTGCAGCCCCCAAATCTCCCCTGGAAATATTTTTAAAGATTGGAGCCATATATGTGACATATGTGTGACATATATGTGTCATATAGGTGACATATGTCACCTTTGRAGCTTTTGGTGCTGAGAGGGTTTGAGCTGCTACTGGGATTACTGGTCTGCACCACCTCACCCTTGAAGGCCTTTAGCTGCCCTGGGGAAGATTATCTCCTCCTGCTGAGTGGTGCCTGCTCGTGGTGCTCTTTGCTCTTTGCAGCGTGATACAGATGCCACCTTTGGATGCAGACATTTTCCCAGCTTCCCATGCTGAACATGGATTCAGAGCCACATTTCCATGTCCCGCCTTGGCCTATTTTTCTCTGAGCTCTCCTGCTTTCTCATGACAGATCATTGGTCCCACAAATGTGGTCCCACAGCTGAAAGAAGCAGGATCGCGCTATTCAGAGCATTTACTTGGGGTCCCACCCCAAGATGCACAGTCCTTGCTCCTCTAGCCAAGTGCATCCCTCCAGGATGAGGCCACCCGTGCCGTCCCTGTGCTGGATGTCCTGCAGGCAGGTGATTCTGGCTCCGGGGTCCATGCTTTCCATGCCAGGCTGTCGCCTGTGCAAGCTGCACGACGCTTCCTTTTCCCTGAGGACCTTTGGCTGCTTCATTCCTGTTTCACAACCACCAGCTGGCAGTCTGCCAGATAAAGAAACTGACAGAAGATTCATGCAAATAACCCGATTTTTATCATCAGTGTAGTGAAAATGTATGTATGATGCTGATTTTAAAAAGTCATAAGCATTAGCTACTCTGAAAGGAAAATACCAAATAATTTGCTTTATTAACAGTGCATGTTTAAGTGAAAGGCTTTAATTTTGTGTGCATACAGTAAGCAAAAGTTCTGTAAACGCACAGGAGAGCTCAATTGTGGTGTTTCCATAAAACAGAAAGCTATAGGGGTTTAGGGTATCCGTCCTTGCCTGCTGGAAGAGCAGCTTCAGAAAGCGATAGTGGAAGTGCTTGTGGCTGTGCTGTAACCCCAGCTCAGCTCAGCTCAGCTCAGCTCAGCCCTGCAGGCCCGCAGGCTTGGTCGTGTGTGTGCATGGGGCTGAGGAAAACAGGCACTCAGGAACCTCCCGAGAAGCACCCAAGGAGCTTCTGCATTCATCCAGGGCACCAGGAAGCTACATTTAGAGTGATGGGCAGCGCAGCTACCTGCATTTGAACATACTGCAAAATAAGGAACTGGAAAAAATGTTTTTTTTAAAAAAAATCCATCAACTTGAATTCACATTGAAAGTAAAACATGGATAAGCAGTTTCACAGGTTGGAGTACGGGTCTGTTCTGGAGTTCCTCTGCAGAAGCTGYAGGTGACGTAAGCAGGTGGCTGGCAAAAATAAACATTATCTAATCAAAAAAGAGCTATAAACATTCAAGTATCGCTAGGTCCAGGCTGATTCTGCCAAGTCTTCCTCACAGGGCAGTGGCAGCCTCATAACAACCTGGTCTTTCATTGGGACTAAAGCACTGCTGGGTGTAAAGAAGAGTTACAGAATCAGGAGCACCACTGCAAGCAGCAAATACAAAAGCAAATACCTTTTTCATTGATTGCTCAGGGTGAGATTTTTAAAGGGATTAGCAAAAGCAAATAGGAACTAACACTCACTGACCTTGGGTATTAAGCTATTTGATCAGGTATCTAAATACCTTTAAAAATCTGTTTGCATTAAACAGCTTCCTCATTTAATGGGGCAAAATAAAAAGGAATAACTTAATATCATTAGACTCCATGAGCTCAATTCTGCTCTCAGCCTGGCGTAAGTCCAGTTTCCCTGTAGAAAAGCATGAGGAGTTGCAGATTTATAGCTGCACTTCCAGAAACCAGCACGCTTAAAGCAGTCACTTGTAGTGTTAACTAACRTTAGCCCAGTGCCCATCTCGGAGCACATGGACACAATTCTGCCCTCTCCTTCCTGCCACGAAAATCCTTTGCACCTGCTGCAGATGCCAAGAGGGGCTGGTGCTCTGTGGTTTGGCCTTGGGCAAAGCTCAAGTGAACTTCAGAGGAGCAGAAACGGGGAGGAGTGGTGTGTGGCTCATGGAGTTTAACCCTGCGGCTCACGCTGGCTCTCGTGAGCRCTGGCTTCAGGACAGGACCGTCGATGAACGTCTCGCTTCGGTTTTATTAGCAGCATTCGAGGAAATCCGGTGCAGCTCTGTGGATGATGCTGGAGSGGGGATTTACAGGCAGTCCGCCAGCAGCGGGCTCTTGTCCTGCATGGCGCTGTAGTAGATCTTGCTGTCCTGGCGCGTGAGGAGGCAGAAGAAGATTAATATTGTTGTCAGTAGGACAAGTCCAATGAAGAAAAGGGCTGTGAATATCAAGCTGGCTTCTCCGAGACTCCAAGTTTTGCCAAAAAGACTGAGTCCTTCTCTGTCATAACCTGTCAAACGAGAAGTAGTTTATGAGAAACCTCTGCATCTGATGAGTCTGAGAAGACTCTGATGAGTCTTATTTGCTGTTTGTAAAAATCCATACCCTCTTTAGTGGTCCTGTTTTCTGTAGTAATAGTATCATAAGTGGCAGTTGTGAGTCCTCCTTCTAAAGGAGCTTTATGCTCTGTGCAGGGAAAGAAAAAGTTCAGTTAAATTGAAAGCTTTATTAAATAGATTTTTGTTTGCATTCTGGAAATAGAGCATGACCTAATTCCTTCTGCCTTGGTAATCCTAATAGAAATTTTGATTAGATCAAACAGACTGCTCTAGGCCTGGCAACGTCCTTCCCCATGGAGATCTCTGTTACTTCAGTCCTGCRTTTCCTTGCCCATTTGGTGTGTCGCAGCCAGAACAAATATGAGGAATACAGTTCTCCCTCTCCAAGGAAGGGGCATTTTGGCAACATCTGGCATTATCCTTGCCCCACTGGTAGGACAGGAKCAGAGTTAGGAGGGCTCTAGCTGGGTGCTGCTGCAGCCCCTAGGGAGGAAAGCGAGCACTGACTCTGCTGTGCAGCCGGGGACCCAGAATGGCACCGTTGGACCCCAAAACCCACTCACTGAAATTAGGTGATGTGCAGAGTCCTGCAAGCTCTTTTGACTTTATGTGCATGTGTGCAAGGGAGCGGCACCATCCCGAAAGGAATTCTCGCCCGTGAGAAGATCTGTTTCCCACTGGTCTTGGTCAAAGGATACCTATTTCTTGGACCAAAGGGGAGGCTGAACAATCATTTTTTTGTAACCTCTTATATCTTGATTGGTCCCTGGCCATGCAAGAATGTGCTTGAATGTCCCTGTGGACAGGCATAAAGGAAAGAGCAGCATGCCCATCTGCAGACACTGCTCCCAACTGCATGCAGTGAGGGTCCACAGCTGCTAAAAAGTAGCTGGAGGTTGTCTTCTGCATCACCTACAGCTGGCCCACAGACTGCCACTTTCTTAGAGGGGCTCTTATGAAGCAGTGACCATCATTAGAGATGTTTTCCCTGTCCCTAAACGATGCTAATTGGCCATGGCAATGCGGTATTTTACAGACTTTTCCAGGCACCAGCTGGGATTCTGGACTGACGTCAGCTATTGCCCTTTTCTGCCTGCCTCTCCTCTGAATTGCTGTGATACCACCAGGGAGCCCTGCGGCGATATTCCTGCTACGGCACCTGATTTATTGATGGTGTAGGTTGTTTCCATGCCAGCGTGGATGTGGTCGGCTACGTGACAGTGCAGAAGCCACGTTCCAGGGTTTTCTGCTATAAGTTCAACTGTCTGGAAAGTCCCAGGAAAAAGGTCGTACACATCTGCTCTGTGGTCCTTATCTGTCTGTGGGAAGGCAAAACAAGCACTGTAAGAGTCTCACGCTGCTCCAACACGGCCCCTGTGCACTGAGATGTTCTTAGACTTAGACTGCCGGCAACTTGAGGCTTCTGGTGTGTTCGTACTATGTCGTATGCAGGAGTCTGAGGCTCGTGGGCTCTCCTCATTTAATCAATTAATTAATTAACAACTGGAGACATTTCCTAGGGGCTTAAGGTCTTGGTGGGGTGCAAGTATTTCTTTGAAAGTCAGATTCTTCAAACAGTCCTGCCAGTATCAAGCTGTCACTGCTTTAAACCATAATGTAATCAGGCAATATACACTGCAGCATCCACATATCTTCGCTTACACCTATGGGCAAATGTGTAGCTTAACCCACCTAACTGTGTCCTTTGCTGATGATATTAACCCACCTAACCATGTCCTCTGCTGATGACATCTATCCATGTTTCGTAACTGTGGCAGAAGCTCTATAAAATTCTTGATCATTCTGTACTTTCTTCACATGCAAAACTCCTGCCAATGTCAGCATCAGCCCAGAGCTATGAGCACAAGGTGCACAAACCATAATCTGGGAGGATTTGCAGAAATGCAGAAATTTCCCATTGTATTGTAAACRAACAAACAAACAAAACCCACCAASACAAATACCCCTTCGATTTATTTCACCAACCTTGAAGATGAAGGTCTGGGCGTGGAAATGGACTGTGTGTATATCAACTTCATTGCCCATTCCTATCAGATACCAATTCGTTGTGTCACCTTCATTCATTGTTAGACCCAGGAGGGTGTTATAGATCTTCCCATTGATTGCTAGAATGACAAAACAGGATGGATCAATCACCAGCTGCTTCATGCCAGGCTCTGTTCTGGCTTCCTTGGAGGAAGGGCCAGGTAGGGAAGGCAGGAAGGCACCATGCAGCCAGGGCAAGGGCTGACAAGGTGGCTGCCATCCTGGCAGGGAGGCAGCCCAGCTTTTTCCTTCGATTTCCAAACAGCTTAACATTAAAGTGCACATTCATTTACCTTGCAAAACACAGGATAACGTTTTAACCTGCTAAGACTGAGCTCCTGGGCAGAAGAGATTTGGGCTGAGAACTCACGTGGAAGCAGGAGGGATGGAGCTGTTGCCTAAAATGGGCACAACATGTAGAAACAACCGTTTTGTTTGGCTTGGGCTGTTCCTGGCCCCGTTCAGTCTGTTCTGCCTGCGCTGATTGCTACTCTGGCTACAGTTTCCAAACATCATCCTCACACTCCTACAACACAAGCCAGCAGGGAATGCAGCCCTGACATGACAGGAGAAGTTTAATTTTAACCAAAGCTTAAAATTAAACAAACTTGTTAGAAAAAATATCTTGTTGGTTCTCATGAAAATTTCTGCTTTCCCGTTTTGTGCTTTATGAAGATGTCGCGTGGCTGGGTGGTTGCAGGCTACACGTGTCTTTGTAAAAGGGCTGTCAAAACAAGCCCCTATCGTCTTGGCTGCTGCCTCACTCCTACATACCGTGCATGCAGTTGCCTTCCACGAAGTTCTCTGTGTAATTAAAATCATTAGGATTCTTATGAAGGTATGTTTCAATGTTTTCTTTCAAATACCAGGATTTATTTTCATCGAACACCATAAATAGAAGCGTAAATTCACGGTCAATGTCTTTCCTGAGACCTTTTTCATTTAGAATTCCTTTTCTGCAAACTACRAGAGGCCCGATCAGACCACTGTATGTGTCCTGGAATAAAATAAATATTTGTGTTACAAATTTGTTAGTTTATCCAGATTAACTACACAAGAAACAAATATGAAATTCCATTTTCCTATCAGCCAAAAAAATCACTGGTCTATCTGCTTTGAGAAATCTTTCTCTATATTTTAGATTTTGATGACCCCAAACAATGTTTTTCTCCCACCCAAACTCCCTTCAATTACACTTTAAGAAAGGAATTACATCGATTCATCTTATCACAGGGTTTTCAATAGATTACACTACCCAAAGGTGGACTATATATCATATATCATATATCATATATCATATATCATATATCATATATCATATATCATATATCATAATACCATAATACCATAACACCATAATACCATAATATCATGTTTTACATATATATTATATATTATATGATACTATCAATTATTATTATATTATATGCTATATATATTATACAGTATATATTTAATTATATAAAATATATAAATATTATGTATTTTATATATAGAATGCAAAGAACACAAAGCATCCAGCTCTGTAAGTGCTTCCTCTAGCCTGTGGTCCTTAAATAAACAAGAAGCATTTCAAAAACATTATGCAAGGTAGGATGCTTTGTCCAAGGCAGTGTAATGACCATTTCCTGGTTACCTTTACAAAATTCGCTGTTGAATAGTAAACCCAAGTGATACAGTTTGGATCTGTTTTCCCTGGGCCTGATCTTTCTGGGACGTTCCACCTGTAGGTATTTATTTCCCCTGAAACAGAGAGAGAAAAATTTCACTGAAAGCAGTTGGGTTTGGGGAGCTTTGAGTAGTAAGAAACTGGATCCACCAGCCTCCCAATTACAAAGTGCTCCGCGTCGCACAGCCCTGCCTTSTAGGGCAGCAGGGAGGTCCCAGTGGTGTAAGTGAAGGCAGGGGTGACCCCAAAATAGAGGTCTATAAACAATGCTGAAAACAGCAGCATCCCCCAGAGGAAAGTTTGGAGATTTAGCTTTTCCTCTTTCTCCCAGGATTTTCAAGGGCTCTTGCTCTGCCAAGAAAAGCAGTCTTGCTAATGTCACGGTATCTCGGAGGKACAAATGAAACTTAAATCCTGGAAAGACCAATAAACAAGAGGAAAGTGGATTTCCCTCTTTTCTTCTGGTTAAATGGGAGAGGGGACAGAGAGAGGACGAAGCTTCAGCAGCCAAGAGATGCTTTGATGTGGGATCCTGTGGGTCTGTCCCTGCATCTGTCATGCATGTGTCATGCGCTCTTCCTTCAGGAAGCTGGCATTGTTCTAGGAATTATGAGCSTGGTAAAGCACATATATGAGTGATGGCTTGTTCAGCATTTAGAAGGGATTAGCATGAGGAGCTTAGTGTGGATAGTCCAGCTTGGGTAGGAAAGATGGCTAGCAAGGAGCTAAGGGAAGGGATTTCCAGGTGATGGTAACAAGGACTGAGATGCCCAAAGACTATTCTTGTTCTGAGGTACTTGATTTACTTGCAAAGTGCTATTTCTGATCACCTAAGTAAAAGCCAATGCTTAGACCTGGCTGAAGAGACCTTTCCTTTGGCTTACTGTCATATCCAAACTGCACTGATGTCTTACTTCATCCAGACCATCCTAGGCCAGCTCTTGGGTGGCCATGAGAGACATTGCAGTGTTGCTCTTGAGAGCAACTGAGAGACATTGCTCAGTGTTTGCTGACACTACACCTGTCAGCAAAGGAGCATCAAGACCATCACAGAGCAGGGAACTCAACAAAGGAATCACATAAACCAGCTCCGTTTTTCTATATATTTACCAGAGGAATGTGTTTGTCACACTCCGGCAAGCCAGACACAGGCTTGGGTCTGGCCATGAATTTTTGTGCGACTGTACTGTCTCAGCATAGCTACACAGAAGAAAGAAATCACACCTTGCAAAGAATAGAAAGTAAGAGAAAGGCAAGGTGGGTGCATTCTGGGTTGACTATAATACCCATCTTTGAGTTTGCCTTTCTATTATAATATAAAACTCAATGTCATAATTGAAAGAAATATGCAACCATGAAAAATGTGGTTCTCCAAATGACAATATAAAAATTTAGATGCTGGGAGAACTGTTTCCTTACATTTTCTTAACTAAAAACTGAGGCATATTTGACACAGTTTTTCAAAGGCTTTTAACTGACATGGTGAGCTGCTCAGTTTTACGTTTTAAGCCTCAGCTCTGAATGGAGATGCCAGTTCTGTGGAGATAATCAGAGAAACAGAGTCAATATTTCTGACTGCAGCTTTACCACTGAGTCACTCCATTTTGCAAATACTATTTGAGTGCCAGTCCTGAGTCAAATGCAACACCAGCCTAGGCTTTCCTTGCAGGGATTATGAGCTTGCTCCTGCTTTGTTGGAGGTGATCCAGTGACACTACATTACTGTGTTTATCCCTTGGGAACCAAGATTCACTCTTGCCCTAACATGTTTATGTAATCAAGAACTTACATGCATGAGAACACAAAGAATCATGTATAAATAATCTTTGAATGTACGCTTGGAAGAACATAGAGGTATGAGGAAGCTTGAAACAGGGCATATTACCCAGGTAATTTTATACCAGGCTTTTGTAGCCCAAGCAAAAGAAAAAAATATTAAAAACAACAACAACAACAACAACAACAACAACAACAAACTTCAAACTTACCTGGTAGGGTAATTGGTGTCTCAGATTGTTCTTCACAACCCACTTCTTCTATACCATGTGCCGTTATTGAATAAGGCCGACTAGCTTTATTCTTAAATATGATCAATACAGAGTCACCGACCTCTGCACGCAGCAGTGGGCCTAAATTAAAACAAGAGTCTCTAGTAATTAATGCAGCTATTACAAATTGATAAAAAATGAAGTTAATCAAGAATCAGCTCAGAAATATGTTTTCTATTGCTATCTATAAGCTATAATATTAGCTAACCTTGAGTTTAGGAGCTGTCCTCTGTGAAATGCCATTGCTGTTTACAGTGAAGGTAAAGAGAATTTTTTGTGATCTGCAAGCTGATTCTGTGAATAAGATATCCAARGGCCTCTTCAATGATAGTTTTCTGACAGTTCAAAAAAAATCATTGTATTTCAACAAACTGAGTACCTGGGCCGTAGAACGAAGAAGCGGTCCTTCTTAAAATCCTCATGTTTACTGTTCTTTCAGCTATGCCATCAAAATCTGTCAGTTACCCCAGCTGACAAAACTAATCTTTCTTCTTTTTGGGTGATAAGAACTGTTCACTCTGGGGACAAGTCTTTGGGCAGCCCTTTTTTAGGGCGAGTTCTTGCAAATAGTTTTTGCAACTAAAATATGATTTTTTAAAAAATTGGTAACTGCTTTTGCTTTCTTTTTGGGGAAAATTAAGCTACTTGTTTTTTCAGTTTAGTACTGCAAAAAAGTAAATGACCCTACTTTTTTTCAAAAAAATCAACACTGTTAGAAATATTTTTATAGAATGTTAATCATTTTAGGAATAGTTGTTCTCCATTTCTCATCCCATAAAACACATGAGTTTGGTAGCTGTTTTATAATATGCACAATCTCAAATTGTGTAAGTTTTGATTTGCACAATCTCGCTACAAACCAAGCACTTTAGCATCTTCTCCATTCTACAAGCATCTCCAGAACATGTGCTCTGATTTAAGGTGAATTTCCATTTTTACTTCCTCCCTGTAAGTACCAATTAAGATAGTCTTTCTTCATTTGAGAATGGACGTTAATTTGGAAAATGTCTTTACATGCAGCAGTTAAACAAATTGGGTGCAAAATCACTGATAAGCAGAAAGAGGTGTCAGTGCAACTTCTTTTCCTTTCCATATTAACAAAGCTGGGGAAAGCTTCGGTTTTGGAAAGGGATCCTCTCACTTTTTAGGCTCCGCCTGTGAGCAGTGAGAGCTACTTGCCCAGGATTTCCAAATGTTCCTCCTCCTTGGTCCTCACTTTGCGCTGGGTGAAGTTGCCGTTTGTGTACTCCCTGTAAACCACCTTCTTGTATTTGGCACCAATGAGGTCTTCTGCTTGGCTCAGGAAAACATGCCCATAGCTGCAAAATAAAAAGGTGGAAATTAAAAGCATAAAACTTCCTATATCCAAAGACTAGTAACTGTTGTGTTGTTCATAACAGATGCAAACAGAAGCAAAAAGAATATGCATGTTGGTCATATGTGCATATGTGCAAAGGATTTTCTGCTGCAAACACCAGCTATAATCCTTGCTGAAAGCACACTCTCTGCAGACAGGTAAAGCCTGGGATATATTGCACTCACCACAAACTTTTGGGAGCACAAGTCCTTGACCAGAGCTTGCAAAGCAGAAACAAAGCTCAAGCTAAATGTGGGGTTTGGCCACTCTTTCTAGCTTTTATCTTCCACTCCAATAAAAGGACATCTTTTCCTGGAAACCTCAGTTCCCCAGTTACGGTCGCTGCTTTCACTGTCTTGTGTGTTAATCAGCTACCTGCAGACGACAACTGCAGCCAGACAGGCAATACCAAAAGCTGCCTTCATTTGGGACAGGGGCTCACTGTGTGTCCCCACTCAGCCGGACTGGCAGTGGCTGCTGCTGTCCTGCACAGGGCAGGACACATTCCTGGCACCAGGATCGTGCCAGCTGCACCCAGCCGTGAGAAATGTCTTTCCCTTCGGCTGAGAATGGTTTTTATAGCGCTCAGATTTACCAGTAACACTGCATTTTTCGTTGATGATCATGCTTGATCAGAGAAGCCTGACTTGCCAGCAGAGGACACTCTTGACCAGCTAAAGAGGAGAGTGCTGAAGCCTCTGGGAGCAGTTATCACATGGTGTGTCATCTCCAAGGCCCCCTGCCAGAGGGGTTTTCAGGTTGTGACACAACATACATAAGAAGAAAGGCTCCATCCATACTCATTTGATGTATATATAAGAGTAGCCTTTTAGTTACTGGAGTTAAGATAGTCTCCAAATGCATTTCTTGATCACCATTAGGAGAGACTCCACCTGTGATGCTTCAGGTGTGTTTTCTACTACTTCCATTGTGCACTTGGTTTTTTATTGGGTGCAGTTGCTGAGCCACATTTCTAAGTTTTGTCTTTCAAATATGTTACCCTCTTATTCCTTTAAGTTGTTACCAAAGGTAAACGTGGTCTGAGACCTGACCATTTTTAAATTACATTTTCTCTGATGGAGATGATTACTTCATTTGTCAAACCGCTTTCTGAAAAGCACTTCATAGGCCAGCTTCATAGGAGGTTGCTTCCAAGTTTTCCCTCGAGCTATGAATATGCTCAACACCCACAAGTCTTTTCTTGCCTTCAGTACCTTTCCTCATTGCTGCTTATGTTGTAAATGTTGGGTGCCGAGCTCTTATTGGATGCGTAGTCCCATTCCACCTCCTCGGCAGCGATGTAGTACAGCCTCACACCACCGTACTGCTGCTTGCCTGGAGTGCTATTGCGACAGCTGCTAACTTCATAAAGATGTTTCATTCCACCAAYAAAGTGATCAAAAGTCCTGCAGACCACACTGAATGTACCTGGAAAGGAAAGATCTTGAGATTTAGGTGATCCTAACAACTCAAAAGTTGGGCAACCATCTCAGTCTGGTGCCTTGTTCATCTCTGATTTGTCCTCAGGCAAAGCTAAACCATGGTGCAGCACAGAAAACCAAGAGAGTGGATATTTATGTCACCTGSAGGCCTATTAGCTCCTTGCTACCTTCAATTAGTTACTCATGGGAGTCTTAGTAGATGAAGGGACAATTAGTCAATAAAATGTATATGCTAATTTTCTACTTTAGCCATTATATTCTCCATGGACCCAAGACTTAAGATGATGGGAATTCAGAGTAATATTTGTGTGCTAATTGTCAAAAACACRCAGGACTCCTTAGGGTTGTGGTTCCTATAGGTTGTGAAACCTATAAAACCTAGGTTCTTCAGCTGCAGGCACAAACTGAGTCCTGATGCAGATCCATAAGACAGCAACTAGTGTTTTATTCCCTCAAAAAAGTTAGTCTACTCCATTTTCCCTCAAGAACTCCATAACTTCTTATTATTTGATTTGGGATAACTTAGCTGGGGGAGCTCTGCGGAGCAATCAATTAAATGTCTAGCTTCAGAAACAAGCTTGTCAGAAAGTCCCTATTATCCCTGCGTTTTTTTTGCCATGGGCTCTGGGTTCCCAGGTGGGATGCGGTGCTGCCAAGGGAGGGCAGGGCACTGTGCCCCAGTTTGTGGCCATGCCTGCAGAGCACCGGGGGACACAGAAGGACTCAGGTCACAGYCTGGACCAAGAGCAAGGGGCAAATTTAGCTCGAGGCTGCTGGAAGCCACGTTGTTGRGTGATTTTGGACATTTTCTCTACAGGTTTGGGATGGTTTGAGTTGATGATGGGCTGTCTGATGACACTGACCTGGCCTTTGGAAACCCATGCAGTGCCTGCTTCTAGCAGGTCAGCAGCCCTGCTGTGCAGCTCCAAATGTGCTTATAAAATCAGAAGCACAAGCTGCCTATACCCAGTAGTACTAAGTGTGCATGGCCAACACTGATAAAGACACAGCCAAAGAGCCTGCCTGTGCCAGAGATAGCATTTCCTTGTCCTTGAGCACAGAACCACAGCGCTGGCCTTGGGCTGCACGAGAGTCTGGTCCTGTGTGGTTGCTCAGGGTAATATGGCTAATTGAGGCCTCTTAAAAACTTTGCAATTCAGACACAGATCAGGCATGCAAGATCCATTATAGAAGAACATCTCTAATGAAAGGCAAAATCTCATCCTCACAGGCTTGAGCAGAAGTTGACCACAACATGGCCCAGTGTARATCCGCCTGCCAACGCCCTGTGAAGCAGGAAGCCTTTTTCATTGCTGTTTAATTTTGAGGAAGCTGAGGAGTTTAGTGATTTACATATATCCGACTTTGTAAGYGAGTGACGGAACCAGAACTAGAGGTGTAGCTTCCTCCAACCTGGGTCTCAGTCCCTCCCTGGTGCTTCCAAGGAAAGTTATGAAAAAAGTAAAACACCAATTAAGAAAACTTKCAGTTGTTGGATACTGTAAAGAAGGGGAAATTCATTCATTTTCTATTACTGCCAGCAGAGGGTTAGCAAGAAATAAAAAATTCCTGGAATGTCTTGTTTAGCCTGCTTCCTGCAGTGCGTTTTCGTGACAGATGGTGGAGCTGGAGGGGATATATGCAAGGAAAGAATCTGCTACCAGATTCCTCTGGTGTCAGGTAGACCCCAGAAGCAGGTGTCTAGCCCTGGGCTGGGCACATGCACACAGATCCACAAGTTATTTCTACTGGGTGCYCGGGCCAAAGATGGCTTTGAGCAGGGATTGCAAAACTCTGGTGACATCACTGATTTAAACAGAGATGGAAAGAAAAGTGACCTTGCATTCTTTAGCTTAAAGTTTATCTGAAGCTTCCCCAACCAAGAAATCATGACTTTAATCTTGAAAAATATGTCACTGGATTATGCATGAAAATTAAATATATTTTTATGCAAACACTCCAGAAGAATCTCCTATCTAGAGGAGATACTATTGAAGTTCTAAAATATCTTAAAAGATATTGACTATCTGCATRGCAGAGAATTCTAACTTGGCTTAAAAAAGGCCTCTTTTAGGATTTATGGAAAATATGTGAGCATCCCCTTAGCTRTCGGTCTATCTGCTGATCTACCTTTCCCAAGCTCATCAAAGACTCTGGTCTTTGGTACATATTTAATTTAGAACTCTTGCCCCAAAAGTTCCTCAGCCTGAATTCTCAATTATGCCACGTTTCCCACAGTCCCTGCCCTCCAAGGCTCTCTTTGCTCCCAGAACAGAGTGGATCTTCTCATTGCAAGTGTTATTTAGGCTGCCTGATTTCTGCCAATGCCACAGCACTGAGATAAGCCCAGGGACATACCCACGCGGTCCGGCTGCATCAGCGCCGTTCCTGATAAATGGGGAAACAAGGCCAGGCCATCCCTTGTGGTCCCTCTCAAGTCAATGGTGTTTCCTTGGAAATGAACTCCATGCATGTCGTAGTGACTGCCCAGCCCAATGAGATGCCAAGAAACCTTGTCGTCCTTGCACATGGCCAAGCCTGGCAGATTACCAAACAAGTATCCGTTGACAGCTGAAGGAGACAGAAACAGTCTAGTTAACAGAAGCCAGACAGTATTTCAGGAAATATCCTCCTACACACCTGTGACGTGAGTTGTGACTGAACAAGGCACAGCACTAATTAAAGGGATATTTGGAGAAGCAAAGGTAGCACTGACTGACACCAAATTAATACCTCAATGYTATTCCTGTAAACTCCGAGCATCTACATTTCTTTTTGGCCAGTAAAGTGGAATTGATGTAGCTTTTCCAAGTGCTTCACAGACACTAGTTTATAAATTAGGTATCTGCTTTCATCCTAGAGAAAATATCATCTTGTTGTGAGGTCATGAAAATGGGCCATAAGGAGTCTGAGTTACAATTTCAGCTCTGAAGCAGCATTCCTGCGTGCTCGATTTTGACATTAGATTTCCACTTTGGTTTCTATATGAATCTCCTTCTTTCACATGTAAGGCTGAACTCACTAATTCTTAAAAACTCTGTAATTCTTAGAGGCCCTTTATGATTGCTGGATAAAAGATACTGTGACTGAATTAAACTTTACAATGGGATAATTCATCATAACATAAGAACATAATAAATTGTCCAGAAAGCCCAGTGGTGAATTTATACGAAATGTATTAAAACAGGCAGAATCACTCCAGGGTGCCCAGTCACGGGGCATGCTCTATATACTGTGTGTTTCATGCTCRTTGCTTATTATTCGTTGACTACCAAGAGATATTTTCAGTGCTGTCAGGCAAACTAAGGCACAGAGAAGTTAGGTGATTTGCTCAGGTCTGTCACATCTGAAATAATTATGAGGATGTCTACACAGAAGTGATGCTTTAAAACACTATTGACCATTTCCCTGGTCTTTGTTCTTCCAGTCCCAGAGATGGTCACTTCTCAAGAGAGACTTGGTAGAACACAGTAGGTGAATCTTCATTATCTGATTCACTGTAAAGTCCTGCAGCTAAATTTAAATCACCAGTGAATATCAGCCTTTCCTGCAGCTGGTGTCTGACTATGGCACTACACATTCCTGTAGACCTGAGTGTAATATTTCAAAGCTAGATTCTGTCCCCTTTCTCCACCTACACTTGTTAGGTGGACATGTTGATTCCTAATGGGATTAAGGAATCGATATGAATTCAAAAGATATCAGAAGTTGGCCATCATGTCTGCCAGCTTTCTCCTTCATCCTCAAGTGCAATATGTTCATCTAAGAATGAGGATAAAACCAGCCAGCTTGTCTTCCTATGCAACTGCAAGAAAGGTCTTACTGACAGACACTTGATTTTTCATACCATGCATTTTGTTGGATTCTTTGAAATCTTCATTGTCTTTGTCTACTTTTGAAGGGTCACCAGTAAAGGCTTCGATATTTTTGTTCAGATACCAGCTATCATTCTCATCAAAGATTGAAAAGAGCAGGTAAAATTCTCTGTCCATTCCTTTCTGCAGCCAGGGAGGAAAATCAGACATTAAGAGTTAAAGCCAAAGTGCATACAGAAACACCCAAATAAAAAAATGCTTTTTTTAAAAATAACTTTCCCTMAAAAATTGCAATAAAAAAGACAAAATATTACAGCAGCTGTCAGCCTTATTCTTGCTATGTCCTTATGGAAAAAGGGACTGGCATCCTTCCATTAGCCAGAAGATTAAACCTTGGACAATGATGAATTCATCTTTGAGAAGGACTCCGTGTTTTACTCTGATTCTCAGAGGTGCCTGGCTGCTTTTATTTCTGTTTTTTTTTTTTTTTTTTTTTTTTTTTTTTTTCATGTGCTTCATAATGTTCTTATAGGTGTTTTCATTTCAATCTCTAGTACATAATTTATAAAACAATATGTGATTCTTCAGTACAGTCTCAAAGTTACAAATCTGGAATTCTGACAACATTCAGCTACAGATTTGGACCAATAGTTTTCATCACACTCTATATTAAACTTGGACCCAGATCTGAACAACCCAGTGTATAGGCAAAATCAGAATCAGGTGGGAACTTCAAAACTTTTAAGACCTCTGAGGCCTGGACAATTGCTTTGTGAAAAATAAGGGAAAGAGAAAAAAAGATGGGAAAACCAGGGATGTGGAAGGGGTAATGTTGTCTCTATTGGGAATGAGTTTTGCCTTCCCCATCTTCCCCGGGTCACCTTGCACTGTGAGAAAGGACATTTCTCGTGAGTTTAAACTCTGAAAACTGAACTGGGAATGTGGAAAATTGGAGCATATGGGGAAAATCCTCAGTCTATCTCCTTGCCATTTGGGACAAGGCAAATGTCTATTTTGGGTACCTGCGTCCCATCAGGGTTCAGTGTGTTTTTCCGACACACCAACAAAGGTCCCACCAGGCCAGAGTTAGTGTCCTTGACGGCATCAGTTGCTGAGTAGTACAGATAGGTCAGGCATGGTGGGTCACTCTCTGTCGGGCCTCCATTTTCAGGCACTCTCCATTTGTATGTAAACATCTCCCCTGGTTTAACATGGGCTCCCGGCTTTGGGTATCCTGCAAASAGGAAATTGCGAAGTGCAAAGGTTTCACAAAGGCTGTATTTTCCATAATACAAGCACATRGCTTAAAGTCAGACAGAGCTGCTGGTTTCTGTCACAGGCTCCCTCTTCCACGCAAAGCTGAACCACCGTTCTGTAGCCTGGGGACTTCTGCWCTAACCCTCAGTATGCAGCAACTTTCTGAGCCCATTCCCACCAGAATCAGGTTAGTTACTTCACACAGGAAGACAACAAGACATTCAGAGCACCTCTTTGCTCTTCCTTACCTCCTTCTAAGGCTTGTAGCTTACCTGCCCTATCATGAGATTCATCTAAGATATGAACACAGGCTCTGACTTTTCATTAAGCATCAACAAAGCAATTACAGCAGCAGATGAAGCTAGAACTGGAGATGGGGCAGTTTGGAAATGCAAACCAAATCTGACTCTGTAAACGTTTCTTTTGAAATTTGAAGTGATGAACAGGATATTCTGTCATAAGTCTCCAAAGGGCAGTTGCTCTTGCTTCTTTTGGAAGCTTCTTTTAATGCATTTAAGTGTTTGCCTCTGTGCCATGCACAGTAGGGAAGTGGCACCACTTGTGTAATTTACCCACTCTGTTGGCAGTCACTGAGGGAAGGCCAAGAAAAGGGACTTGAAAGGGAAATTGGGAAAAGCAGTCAGCTATGTATCCATTGTAGATTAAAGTTCTAATCAATTTGTTCTGTCATTGACAGAAGGATGATCAAACCACAAGTTTCATTTAAAGCTGAGGAATCCATAGACTGGATTTTCTCAGTCCAGTCAGATGTGTCTGTCAGTAGGATATGGCACTGACCTAATTTTGTATGTGCTRCTTCGGTTATTACCAAGATCCTGGAATGCCTCAGGGACAATCCTCTTGAAGACTCAGACAGGAGTGAAAATATCAATATTACATTTAAATACATACTAGGTGCCATAGACCACAATAACAAAACRGAGAGTTCCTGCGACATTATCTGATGCTACAGAATTCATCCTGCAACAGCACTTGGTAAACAGGACATGGACTGAGAGAGACAAAATGTCTATGAGTGGACAAGTGTCAAATGTGACATAGAAGAGTATATTTTGAGATCACAGCTGGAACAAAAGAAAAGCTGTCTAGCGAGCCCTAGGTATCTTTAGCTAAAGCACATGAACAATTTGCACTCRGGCAATGCTCAGCCTTTGAAAAAGAAGGTTCCTTTGGTGCAAACCTGCAACCCCACTGCATCTGTGCGCACTGGGAGACAGATATGGAGAAAATTTAAGACATAGGGGCTACAGGGAGAGATGAAGGGGCAGAAAGATTAGGAAGAAATAAATGTGGGTCCAGTTTTCTCAGCAGAAATCCAGAGGTGTGCAGCTCACACTGGTGCTGAACTATAGGATTTGGATTGATTTTGCTCTGCGACAAAGAGTACAGTGCCAATAGACACTGTAACTGCGAGGTGTTAAGCAACAGCATGACAAGATTTCCTCAGGTGGAAACCATACTTCTGTCGGGGTCTAGAGACCTTGGTCTGYTCAGCCTGAAGAACAGAACGCTGAGAGGGGACCTGATCAGTGTCTATAAATACCTCAAGGGAGGCAGTGAGGAGGATGGGGCGGCCTCTTTTCAGTGGTGGCCATTGATAGAACTAGAAGAATTGGCCACAAACTGAAGCACCAGAAGTTCAACAGAAACTTAAGAAACATTTCTTAACAGTGAGAGTGACAGAGCCCTGCAACAGGCTGCTCAGAGAGGTTATGGAGTCTCCTTCTGTGGAGATCATTAAAACCCGTTTGGATGCAGCCCTGTRCCACATGCTGTCTGCRTGTGCAGGGAGGTCGGGCTAGATGACCTCTAGGATTCTATGATTCTATGAACTATATCTGCCATCAGTGGTGTTTAGGAGTGTAAAATCCGTGTTGATTTTAGAAGCTTTCGTTGATTTGATTAGATAATCAGAGTTTTACGTGTTGACCTAATTCTGTTGGCACCATTCTCAAGGAGGGATTAGGTCCCAGCAGTTTTTTCTGATAAGCTGCAGTGGAAACAAAGGATTTCAGACAAGCATTCAGACGGGTCAGGCAACTACTTTCTCCTCAGTGCTGCAAAGGCAGCAAAATAATTATTTTGGAGACCACAATATCCTCTCTGTAGAGACTACCGAGAGTCTGTATGGATTCAGCTCACCTAACCTTATTCCTATACAACTTAGGTCCCTATACCAGGTCTAAGCTTCTACATTCAGTGAAGAGAGACAACATCAAAGAGCAGCTCACTGTCTCTTAAGACAGAGTAGTAGAGTAGTTCTCTTAAGATAGAGTAGCAGAGCAGTTCACAGTAAATAGGTCTTCTCACTGTTTGAAGGGATTGTTTCTTGCCATGGACTACACAATTAGACACATCATCTGACTTTTAAGGGTTAAACTTACATGACAAAAATCCAATTCTGTGCCCAGTGTGAGAGGAAGCCTTCAGTAAATGCTTCACTTCAACATCCACATATTTATAAGGATTAATAAGAATTGTTGCTGCCTCAGACCCCAGGCTGTTCAGATTAAAGATATTTCCCATGCTGCAGAATCTGACAGTGAAGCAAGGGGAATGCAAAGCTGGACTACAGAGCAAGACATGAAGCAGCCTAGAGCATACAGCCTAGAGCATACAGCAGGGACATGGTGCCAGATACCAAGCTCCCCTATTTTGGAGCATGCCCTGAACAGCTCCATTAAGTGCAATTGARTGAATGTTTAATACTAGGCTAAGTAGGATTGGGTTTATGTTGTTTATTCATCATTAACAGATAGGCTCCAGCTAGTTTCAGATGCCTTGTCTAGTATGCATCCAAGAGAAAAAATCAGCACAGGAACAGACCAGGGGAGGAGGCAGTCCTGCAAGCTGTGATATACAAGCTAGATATAAATTAACCAAATCTTCCCTTCTGTGTCTTACAATCCACAGAAAGAGCAAAAGTAGCAGAGCAACAGAAGAGGAGGCTCAGATCCATGTGTTATGGATGCAACAATGCAATAGCAGAGCTAAAACTCACCGTCTAAATATGGAGCACCTTCTGACAGCTTGCTGTAGCTCACACCATGGGCCATAATGCTATAGTTCCTCTTAGCTTTGTTGGCAAAGGTAACCAGCACTGTATCTCCCACTTCAGCTTTTATAACAGGACCTTCAGAAATGAGAGTAAAGGAGCATATCAGAAGAACTGCCAGGTACCATATCTTCATGCAAAGAAGAGATCAGCAGCTACATGCACAGAATACCCCTCTGGATTCAAGTGGACTTCTGTATTTAAATCCACTGGAGGGACAGGATCAGAAAGTATTTATTGTACCAAGTATTCCCAGGTGCTTCAGTTCCTCTGACCGCCTCTTCCTTTTTCTGAAGGTTGCATCAGTATATTCCACATATTGAACTTTCCAGTACTGCCCTCCTATTCTCTCAGTTCCTTGGGTAAAATATATTGCAGATTCGCTGTGAAGTTAACAAATAAGACTGGTTAAACAACTGGAGGTGCATGATGAACCCTTCCTTTAGGATGAAGTTATTCCTGGGACAAATGATCCTCAGATGATTAGTTTCCATATGGTTTTCCAGCAAGCCAAGGGAGATATTACTGATCTGTACTTCCGTTAGAAATTAGTTAACTTATTTTCATTCATTGTGTATTACACTTCCTTACATTTGACTCCAGCTTACTTATGTCAAGACTTATGTCATTACATTTGCACTATGGATCTCTATTCTCCTTTTTTTTTTTCCTAGCAGATAACAAAATAATATTCTTCATCATGAAAAAAATACCACTATGGTATCTCTGAGATACTGATTAAAAGTGGAAGAGCTGCCTAGGTCATCTAGGCTTAGTGGGATTCATTCTGTTGACCTTTGTGTACCTCATCAGGGTTCACTTTCCCCATGTAGTTAGAGGAGCAAGATAAGTGCTTCCAGAAGGCAAACTGGAGCATCTCATGAATCTAACTTCTCAACAAGGTTGTTTAAAACCATTCCTCCCTGTCCCTTTCAATTAAAATTAATAATAGTGTAGGACCTAGCCCTGATGACTCATGTGTAGAAGTCTCTCCCAGACACCTGAAATTAAAATACGACAAAAAAGGACAAGAAGTCTTACCTTCCAGTGGCATTTAAACCCTGCCCAGTGAATTTATCGTAACCGTCAGGTCCATAATTCCAGAGCACTTCTTCAGCAGCAATATAGTATAGTCTTTTGTGGCTGAGTGGTGTAGGCCGAGAGAGGTTTTTCTGACAGATCTGAACATCATACAATGCCTCCATGCCACCTGAAAGGAGAAAGAGTCTGGAGACAGCTCTTGTGACAGCAGAGTCAACACTCTCACAGATACAAATGTACATTTGGAAGTCTCTAGACAGGAGCTATGTGGGCTGGAAATTTCTACTTCAATAGACTTCCTACACCCTCTCTGGGGCAGACTCTATTACCCTTCCCTTGCACCCACAAGTGAACCACATTGAAATCCATGATCAAGTCTTTGAAAGTATTTTCTTTTCTCAACCAGTGACTGGTTCTGATGTTATATAACAGCTAGTATCATAACATTTCAATTATGGTATGTGCTTTGCATCTCCCACACCAAGATATCACAGTGTCATTTTCAGATTTGYTCATGCAATTGCCTTCTACCGATCTTCAGAGAAAAATGTCAGTTTTTGTCAGATTTCTCTAAAGTCTCTCAAGGTGTTTCTGTGATTATCTGTTTCTCCATCAGAGAGTGAATATGAAGGCTCTTATCAYCCTTCATTAAAATCTTTAGTTTAGATAGAAAGTGCAATGTCAGCACTGGATTTAGCAAGCTTTTCTCATATGAATTGCCTATATTTAYGATTAAGTCATTCTTAGTCGATGAAGATTTGTATAATATGATATATACATAATTTTCATTGATGGCTAAATTGATACTCATAAGAATAGATAGATAGAAGAAAAAGCTCCAAGTCCTGCTCCCCCTGGAAGGTGTACTCTCAGTTTTCTTTTCCTAGGAGAAAACAAGCTGAGTTTTGTATCTGAGATCATCAGGGAGATCTCTAGCACTGTACCTCGTAAATGTTCATTGACCTGACAAGTTATCAGCCACCTCCCAGGATTCCCAGGAGTCATCTCTGCTGTGATGAACGTTGCTGGGAACAGCCCGACGACATCTGCCCTCTGGCCTCTGTTGGTGAATGTGTGGCCGTAGAAGTATGCAGCATGGATATCTATCTCACTTCCCATTCCAAACAAGTGCCAAGACATGGGATCGTTGGCACACATTTCCAAGCCAGGGAGATTGCCATAAATATATCCATTAATAGCTAAAAACAAAATTATGAGATTTCATGAGAGATAGAAAACAAGTGTCTCTGTTTCTAAGGATGATGCCTTGAAGACCCTGAAATGCCTGAATATCCGATCTGAGTCCACAGCTGAGTTACTTGCTCACAGACTTCTTGATGGAGAACAGCAGTTTTGAAATGCCATGTTACAGGTTTGAATGATCTAATGAACCACATTCTCTTCGCTAGTTCTATGAAAGACTTTCTGAATAGTACAGAGATACCAGAAAAGCCAAATCATTACTAAAGGGCTTGATTAGAAGTTAATTTGTTCCGCAGCTCTTTAGCATCCCTGGAATTTCTTCCCTTTTTACTCCAAGTCATAAATATACCATTATACAGATGACTCAAGCAATTTAGATTTGAAAGCTGTGGTATCAGTCAAGCAAGTCTGGTCACCTCTGTTTTCATCAGCTTGCACACATGCCAAAGTATCAGGACGCTGGGAAAACGAGAGTCATACTTCGAAAAATGTTTTGGCTTCTAGACATTATTCAGCCTATCAGCACAGCAATTAAACCTTCAGAAATGTTTCATGATGAGAAGAGAGAGCTATCACAAAGGACAGAAAGTCCTACTGAAGTGAAAACGGTAAGGTCACTACTGGATATTACTACTGCATGCTCAAGAGTCCTGCTCACCGTGCATTCGGTTGCTGGTCTGGAAACCTTCATCCTCTTTGTCCACTGTGGTTGGTTCTAAACAGAAGGTGTTTATATTCTCATCAAGATACCAGCTGAAGTTTTCATCTACAATGCTAAACATCAGGGCAAAAGCGTTAGCAGCACCAGTCCTTTCTATTGAAGTGTCATCTGCAGTTCCTAAATTGCAAACAGAAAGGAAAGTGCTAGGAAAAGCCTTGGAGGGATTTCAATTTAAAAATGACAATAACTTTGGAGCACTTGAGGAAATACAGTGCTCCACCCTTAATGTAAAGAGCAGGATGCATCTCAGCTAATTTCACGTTTCTAAGATAGCTGTATGCGCCATTCTCCATGAACTTACAAGAGAGCTTAAAGGAATATCTTAGGATAGATACTTAACTTTTAAAAGATTAAGCAAAGGATGAATCTCATCTATTCARGCTAAGTTTGGTATCATTATTTGAATAATCATTTGGGAAATAACATGAATGCTTAGGAGTGGTTATACTGGGTAATCTACTATTAACCTCTGACAGATTTCTAATTCATCTAATTACCCGTCCTACCTCTGAACCTTGAAAACTGTTGCATGCCCCTAGCTTATAAAAAGGAGTCCCAAAGCCTAAACTCTGTCAAGAGCCAGGCACCACCTTCTAGGCAGAGGAGGATTAAATCATCATGCAGAACTCAAATTCAAGACTGAACTTGCAGAAAATCTGTTCTTTCGGGCTAGGATTGTTTTTAATATGCTTTGCTCTAGCTTTGCTTATGGTCCCATGGTTATCAGGTCAGTTTTACATATTCAGGTGTTTTTGCAGATTTCAAAGGCTCCCTGGGAGAAATAAGTCAGAGAGATTTTAATTATCTGAGTTAAGTTAGAKATCAGGCCCATCCTTTCCATACTGAAGTTTTTCTCTTCTGAACATACAAAAACTGACCCAGGTATATATTCTGTGTATAAAATGGGGGCTGAAGGAGGTGCTGGAAGCAGGTGGCCAAAGAATTACGTGTATCGTAGGTGGAGAAGGGACAGTGGCTTAGCTGACAGGAAGTGAGAAGGTTGGCATGTAGTGTGTGACCATTTCTGCATTAAAATAGCAGACTATGATGAATATGAGACAGGCAGTCACCTCAAGTGTTCAGAGCACATTCCTATATAATAATCATGTTATTAGCAGATACAAATATATAATCCACATATGAAAAAATGACAAAGAACATTGGGCTTTCAAGTATCTAAATACCAATACCAAAATAACCCTCCCAACCCTAATTTTATTGACTGGGCAATGAGTCTTTTGACTGTCTTGAAACAATCCCAGTTCTGGAGGATTATTCTGGTCTGGGTCATGACCAGCTGGCCACAGAACATGCTGCAGTTCCTCCACCAGCTGAGACAAATCTCTCGTGAAGCCAAAGGGGAGCAGGAAGGGACTCGTCCCAGAGCTACAATACCTACCCTGGGATGCTCCTGGAATGCCCCAGCTATTCTTTGCCCCTTTTTATGGGCTATGTAGGGATAAATTCTAGACCATCAGGTTTATACCTGTAAGCAAAAATGACTGTTAAGATGCCAAGCTTGGCAGAAGGGCTTGCTTTGTCAATGGTTCCAGCTTAGTACCTTTTTTACAAACCAGCAGTGGCCCAATTAAACCAGATGCAATATCTCTTGGTGTGTCAATGTGAGAATGGTAAATCCAAGTCAAGCAGTTGGGGTCTGACAAAGTTGGGGAATAATCTTTCCTTACTGGCCATGTGTACGTGTAGTTTCCACCAGGAACAACAAAATCGTCCTCTTTGCTTTTACCACCGGTTCCATCTGGGTAAAGTGCTCCTAAAGCATTAAAAAGAAAGAAGATTTTATCTCCCCCTATCAGAAAAACTATTTTCCCTAAATAAATGTGTAACTTCTGTTTTATTGCAGCTTTCAAAAATAATAGCAACAGTCACAAACACAGAATCAGTAAGAAACTGCATAAATAAATAAATAAATAAATAAATAACCCTCTGAATGTGTGAGGAAACTAATAGCATTGAGAAATAATAAAAAAATCACATACTCGTAGACAACAGCTTCAAAAACTTATTTAAAAGGCTCTAATATTTCCTTGGCTCTTTACTTTGATCAGACAATCATTTGCACATTTTGTCAGCTAATATTTTGTATCTTCTCACAAAAAAACAAAAAAAAAAAAAAAAAAAAAACTAGTGAGAGTAATGAAGGCAAATAAATCCATGTGAAATACACATGTATAGTTCTTGGATTCTGAAAATTGAATCATCATAGAATCATAGAATGTCTAAGGTTGGAAGGGACCCCCAAGGTCATCCAGTCCAACCCCCCTGCTCATGCAGGGTCCCCTAGAGCACGTGGCACAGGGCTGCRTCCAAGCGGGTTTKRAAGATCTCCAGAGAAGGAGACTCCACAACCTCTCTGGGCAGCCTGTTCCAGGGCTCTGKCACCCTCACTGGCAAGACATTTTTCCTTAAGTTCCTGTGGAACTTTTGGTGCCTCAGCTTGTGGCCTTTTCCTCTAGTCCTATCGCTGGCCACCACTGAAAAGAGGCTGCCCCCTCCTCCTCACTGCCTCCCTTGAGGTATTTATAGGCACTGAACAGGTCCCCCCTCAGCCTCCTCTTCTCCAGGCTGAACAGGCCCAGCTCCCTCAGCCTTTGCTCATAGGGCAGATGTTCCAGGCCCCTGATCATCCTGGTAGCCCTGCGCTGGACTCTCTCCAGCAGCTCCACATCCCTCTTRTACTGGGGAGCCCAGAACTGGACACAGTACTCCAGATGTGGCCTCACCAGGGCTGAGTAGAGGGGGACGATCACCTCCCTTGACCTGCTGGAGACGCTCTTCTTAATGCACCCCAGGATCCCATTGGCCTTCTTGGCCACCAGGGCACACTGCTCCYTCATGGTCAACTTGTCATCCACCATGACRCCCAGGTCCCTCTCTGCGGGGCTGCTCTCCAGAAAGGCAGTCCCCAGTGCCCCAAACATGCATCTTATAGCCCCATCAAGAGGAAGTCATTTGCTCACAAGAACTTTATGCATGCACATAGGCTAAAGGGTAGAAAGAAGGCACCTCAGTTCACCAGAAGAATTCAAGATACAAACCCATCTAACCTGTTTTGGTGCCAGATCTATTCCAGGCRTCTAAGGTTTCTGGTGAAAAGTTTTAAGAGGTTGGGATGTTCCTGTTTTTAGTCACCAGCTTCTATTGCTGATGAGTTTGTGAGGCAGTGATCCAAGTTAATGGCCATAATAATAAATTGGACAACTTTGTCCAACTGTAAGTTGGACAACTTTTAGTCATGATAGCTACTACACAAGGAGGGGAGGAGAAGGAAAAAAATTAAAAAGTCTTTTACCTTCTGAGTCCTTGTCATAGAAGACCCCATGGGGATGCACAGAGTATGGTCGGGAAGCAAAGTTCTTTAAGTGGATGATAAAGACATCCTCTTCTTCAGCCTTCAACACTGGCCCCAGAAAACCCAGCCAGGCTGCTTTAGGGATCTCCTGGGAGTAAGTGTCATCTGTAAATTGTCTAAAAATGGCCTTTTTGTACACACGCCCTATCCGGTTGGCTCCTCTTGTGGCATATACACTTGCAAACCTAGTGTTAGGAAGGGAAAATAATTTAAAGACAAAAAGCTCTTTTGGAGATATTAAAAAACTTACAGTTCAGAAAAAAAAAAGGCTGGCAGTTCAGATAACCTGAGATGTATCATATAGCTGATGGAACAGAGGCTGAGGAATCAACCTGGACAACACTAACAAGCTACAAGGCAATTTTGTGCTCTAAAGGTTAYTCTACTAGCAAGTCTGGTCATTAGCACAGCTAGTATAAGTCTCCACTTGAGGAGCAGCTTCTCAGGTCTTTCTGTAGAGTTTTAGTACCTTCTCCCTCTTTTGCATGACTGAAACCTCACATCCAAATAATTGATCAGAGAGAAAATAATTCTAATTCAAGGATTAATTCTAAAACCAATAACAGCAACTGTAATCTGCCAGATATTCTTWAAAAAAAAAAAAAAAAGGATAGAATATTTTTTGACTGAAATCCATGACTTCCACATTTTAGAGCCTATGTYTTATAGCAACTTCAAGTGATGTAGAAGCCACCACATGGTCATTGGTTAACATATTATAGCTATTAAATATTTGCTTTGTTAGAATCTAGAATTTTATTTGYAATCTAAATCAAACTCCAACCACTGGTTTCCATCATTTCTTTTCTTTCTTAGATCAAAGAGGCCACGTACTGTTAAAAACTTCTTTTCCATGCAGGCACTTGTATACTCTGATTAAATTACCTCCTACACTTCTTTTGGACACTTCTTTTGGACAAACCAAGTACACTGAGACTCTTTGTTCCGCTATTTTTTTCTGAAGTTCTTTTCTGAAAGCTTTCTAATATTTCAATATCTCCTTTGAAGTCTGAACACAAGAACTTCACACAATACGCAAGTAATACTCCAGACAGAGATGCTTCTAGTCAATATTCCTTTGCTTATACAACTAGGAATTAGATTTGCCCTTTTATCTAAAATGTCATACTGGCAACCCACATTCAGTCTACCTCCCCTTAAATCTTTACTTTTCTCTAGCATGTCTTTTGAGTGAGATACATATACTTCAAGCCTATATCTTTCACATGATGTTCAAATTACCCCTCTTTACCACACAACTAAGCGTAGACTATATGACTGATTTAACCTAATTCAATGATCCATGGGTTTTTTGCTTCCCCTGAAAATTGTTTGAACTTTTATACTTTCCAATAAACTCATAAGAAATGAGCTAAGTACTCATGAGATATCATTGGCAGTAATATGACAATTCTCCACTTATTGGGGATTTTCGTAAGTGACAGTTTTATCTCATTTTCCTTTTGCTGCTTTTTTACAGCATTGATGAACACTGGCTGAAATATGACTTGAAAGGTGCAGCTGTATGCTGTATTTTCTTTACCATAAGACCTACAGTTTTCTCCCTGGCAAGCCATCCCTATCTGACACTATGATTCACAGCATCTCTACCATTTAAACTAAATCCCCAAAGGGATTCAAATTTAAAAGCTTCCATAAAGATTTTTTTTTATTTGAAAAATATGATTCAAGACATAGACAAC